AGGAGACTTTTATTGAAACAGATATTTGAACTAGATTATAACTTTTATAAAAGAAAGAAATAATAGGGACTAAACTAGAGCAATAAAGAAACTTTCTGGAACTAACAATAAAGATCTTAACATTATAAAAATTCAGTAGACAAACTGAAAAGGGCTATCACCATTGGGAGTGAAATTAGCATCTTGGAAGTCAAGTGTAAGGAGTATCTTAAAATACAAAGAACAAAATTAAAGAGATGGTAGTCAGGAAGGAAAAAATAGAGTCTAGGAGAAGAAATCCAGGCAGGAAGAAATTCACCAGCATGTGAATAAATGTTGTAGAAGGAAAAAAGGGAAGAGATAGTGGCAGTTAATAACTAAACTAGAAATAGGGATATATTAGTTTGCTGCAGGTGCCATAGTTAAGTGCTGCAAACTCCATGATTAACAGAAATTTATTGTCTCATAGTTTAGTTTTGGAGGCCAGAAGTCTGAAATCAGGTTGTTGGTGAGTTGTTTCCTTCGGAGGGTGGTGGTGGGGGAAGGATCTGTTTGAGACCTTCTCTTTGTGGCTTGTAGATGGATGGCTCTTTCTCCATGTGTTTATTCACATCATCTTCTCTCAGTGCATGTCTGTCTCTGTGTCCGTATTTCCCCTTTTTGTAAGGACACCACTCAGTTTGGATTAGAGACCACTGTAATAACCTTGTTTAAATTTGATTACCTCTGTAATGACTTTTTCCAAATAAAGAGCCACATGCTGAAGTACTGAGGTTAGAACTCCTGACACTTTTTTTTTTTGAGGAGGGATACAATTCAACCCATATTGAGGGGAAATTTTTCTGATCTTAAGAAAAAGACTTCCAAGGACTCACTGGTCCCAAGGAGAATAGAGTTTATGCTTAGGCTCCTTAAAATATAAAAATCCTTGAAAGTCTTTCAAGCTCCCAGATGGGAAATAGATGACTTACAATAGAAAAAGCATCAGAGAAACAATGGATTTCTTACTTGCAGCATCAAAAGGTAGAAGATAGTAAGAATATCTACAGACTACTGAGGGACTGTTATACTCAGCCAACACATCATTCTATCTATTTGAAGAAATACATTTTCACATATACAGGGAATCAGAGTTTATTACCTTCATATTCCTACCTGATGAAAATAATTTAAAGAGTTCTCTAAACAAACAATCGAGTCAGAACAAAGATTCAAGAGGGGTAAGACAAAGGGAAGAGGAAACGATGGTAAACAGTATATTTACATATAACAGATGATGAAATTCATAATAAAAATGTTTAAAAAGTAGTAAGGATTGTTGAAATAGAAGAGCAATACTAAGAAAACTAACAGGCTGTAACCAAAACCACATCAACAAAAAATAGTCATTAGAAGGGTGCGGAAGTAAAAACAGGACAGTGCAAGTGTAGGGTCATGGTGGGGAAGGGATATTGTTACATTATTTTCCTGAGATAGTATGGTAATAGGATGGAAAAAAATTGACGTTTTGTCATTGATAATGGAAAAAGAGTATGAATGGTAATTTCAGCCAATCAGGAAAAATGAAAAAAGTAAGAACTGAAGAAAGTAAGTTAAATACTAATCAAAGTAAGATGAAAGAGAAAACCCATGTTCTTACACTAAATGCAAATGAGATGAATTACCCTATTGAAAGACATGTTCAATGGGATTATTCAAAACAAAAAAATAGGAAAATAAAAAAATAATAAAAATCCCAGGTGTATATTGTTTAGGGGCAGCCTTTAAAAAAGTCACCAAGATTGAAAAGTAGCAGATAATGGTAAATAGACAGGCAGGATGATTCCAGGAAAGTCCAAACCGAAGCAAATCAAAGTATATTACAGATCTTATTACTTCCCGGATAGACCACCGGAAGCTGAAAATGTATTTCATACATCTAACCTCCCGAACATCATAGCTTAGCCTAGCTGACCATAAACGTGCTCAGAACACTTAGATTAGTCTACAATGGCTAAAATCATCTGACAGAAAGACTATTTTATAATAAAGTATTGCATATCTCATGCAATTTATTGAATATTATACTGAAAGCGAAAACCAGAATGGTTGCATGGTTACAGGGTGGTTGTCAGCGTACTGGTTGTCTATCCTTGTGACTATGTGGCTGACCGGGAGCTGCCCGTGTCACCACAGAAGCTCGTACCACACATCACTAGCACAAGAAAAGCTCCGAGTTCAAAATCTCAAGTGTGGTTTCTAGTGAATGGGTATTGCTTTTGCACTATTGTAATGTTGAAAAATCCCAAGTCAAACCATTGTTAGTCAGGGGCCATCTATATTTATTTCAAAGAGGAATTTAAGATCTTTTAATGGTACAAGATGAAGTGTTATGATATGATAAAAGACTTGATTTTAGAAAAAGACTTGTCAAAGTTGTTTATACTCAACAACATAACAACTAAGTATATAAATAAAAAATTCTATTATTCAATGACTCAGATCCCTTCCGAGAATAACCTTTATCTGATCAACGATTAAAAGACTCAGGTATCTTGAAGAATTTCCTTGTTGCAAATTATTCTACAACCTTAATTTTCTGTGTGCTTTTTATCTGTCCTGAGATCTAAGTAAATTTGACAAAGATGTTAGGTCTGTAAACAAGTTTACTTTTAAATTCTTTGCCTAGAAGCATCTAGACAGAATTTTGTGTGAAAAAAGTATTTTACATCTGAAAACTAGCCATTTCAAATTAAAATGATTTTAGTGTTATAGGTGGCTTCAGGGAAGAGTTACTGAAGTTTATTTCTGTTTTGGCAGTGTGAATGAATTACTTACAAAATTCCAAGATTTTATAGTTGTTTTATAGAGTTGTCTATTATTTGCTGAAACCACAGTTTTCTGGCAGTTTTGCAAATTATCTACTCTGTGTATAGCAAAAACTTGTTTTCCAACTTCATAAAAATAATATTTTAAGATTAAGAACAAAATATATATAAAAGTACACTTCGGGGTCAATTTTTAACTCTCTTGTTAAGAGTTTTGAATTTGTGACACATATAAATGTATTAATAACTACTAACATTTGTAAAACGTTTTATAAAATAAAATATAAAAACATATATTTTACATATTTTATCTTATTAATATAATATAAATGTAACACCCAAACTTGAGTTGTCCATTCTGATTCAGTGAATCATAGATCTTACCCAAAGCCAAACTTTGTTAATGATTCAAAGAATACAAGCAAGCACCAAGTGCAGATGGCATATTCTTTTTTTGGAGGATCCCCAGACTGTCAGACACAGATTCCAAAAATGTCCTTTTCTTTTGCAATAGGACACGTTATGGTTTTGGATTAACAGAATAGTTTTGAGCAATGTGTGCAGAAAAAAAAGTTGCACAAAGGAAGTTGTGTTGGTTTTGGAACTCCTCTGTTTTATATTCTCTTAATTACACAGCTTACTTGACTACTCCCCATTTTTCAGCCATAAATTAATAAATCCATAATTTCAGGCTCATTTGTGATGAGCAGTCAAGATAATTGAGCTATATCTTGTGAACAGCATTTTCTAGATAGGTACTCTGGTATTTTTCTTTTTTTTTTTTGAGATTTTATTTATTTATTTGACAGCGAGAGCGGGAACACAGAGGGTATAGGAGAGGGAGAAGCAAACCCTCCCCCCCTCCCCCCCCAGCAGGGAGTCTGGGGCTGGATCCCAGGACCCTGGGATCATCACCTGAGCCAAGGGCTGAGCCTTAACGATTGAGCCCCCCAGGCGCCCCTCTTTGGTATTTTTCTGCTAGTAAGTATCATTGATAGGTTTACAAGGCTACCTTCTGGTTTGAGGTCATTAGTGTATTACTGGGATCCAGGGCTGAGGTCTTTCATTTCCCCTCCCCCAGTAGGTTGAGTGGATTACCAACCTGTTCTTAACCCTTTTCTTCCCAATGCGTAAGAGTGGTGGAGTTGGTTCTATATAGAAAATTTTGCTAGAGTAATCTTTTAAAAATTTCCTTTATAAATTATCAGTATTCTCAGTTTTGGGAGTTCATGCTTGAGAAAATGAGCAATTAAAATGGATACCTGCTGATACTGTGTAATTTCTTCAGGGTTTATATTGCTAAGTATCAATAGGGATAACAGATTATCCCTAAATCATAAATAGTTGCTGTGATTATTTCATATAAACATATTTCATAAGAATCTTCAGGTATAAATTTAAAACTGCTGCCCCTTTACTAGAAATTTGAGATAATAGGAACTAAGGTTGGAGTTGGAAAGATTTATTAAGAACTTAAAGCTACTTCAATGTAGTATGTTGGGTCACACCAGTGTATGGATCCATTTGCCATTAACAAAAAGAGTTTGTCATCGTTCTCCTATTCACTGTGTTTTCTATAACCATTCTTTACGTGTGGTTTACATTGAGAAGAGCCCTCACAGCTAGTAACAGATTTTTAAAAATATCCTCTGTGAAACTTATTCTTAGGGAAATTTGTTCACTTACTAGGCCAAGAGCTTAATAAAAAAAACTCTTAATATAAAAAAGCTGTTCTGTCTAAAAATTCATTTTTCAAGTAGACTTGTGAACAAGTCCAACAGTTTGTGGAGTTTACTTAGATCTTAGGACAGATGATAAGAAAATTAAAGATGTCAAAATCTATAAGAATTTACACACCCAAGGATTGTCATTGGTGATGAGATAAAGATTATTCTTTGAAAGGATCAAAGTCATAGAATAATAGGATTTTGAAACTACTAGAACCTTAAAACTCAATTAAATTGGCTCACTTATTTTAAAAAGAAATACTACTAAATATATAATTATTAGATCCAGCATATTATATGTTTCCTTTTGTTTTGCAATTCCAGCTCTTAAAATCTACATGTGGGCCAAATGCCATAACTTTAAATGTGCATGTTTGGTTCTTCAGTCATATCCACAGGCCTCTCTCTGAGTTTTCTTTCAAAGATTGCACTATATTTATTCACAGAGTAATTGTTTTTTGAATTTTGCAACTAGAGCCTATTAAAGATGAATGAAAAAAAGTTGGAAACAACTCCACAGCAGCGGAAACTTCCTGAATGGATGTCTATGCAGAATGAGACCTGTCCTGCAGTAGAAGGAAAGGTGTGTGGTTCACCAATTATTCTTTCAGATGGAAATTTAATGTAAATTTGACTGTAAAATCAGTCATTCCTCACTTGTAAACTGCAGGTCACCATTTAAGTTAGTTGCTGTTGTGTCATTTATTGGGTGAATGGGATTAAATTTTAATGGGGCTTACAAAATGGGGATTCTTACTCCGTATTTTACCTTTTTATCTAGTTTGTATCGTTGACCTTACTAGTTTGTTCTAATTTAGATAATTTAGACAGTATTTATTTTGGTGAGTTTTTGTGCGTAAGCAAGTTTAACTTTTCTTAGGTTCAAGATCCACCAGCCACTCTTCAGCAACTTAAGGCAACATTATTACATCTAGAATACTAATATAATTACAGAAAAAAATTAATAAAATAAGTGCTCTTATGAAAATAGGATTAGAAGTTTGCAAATAAGCTTTTTAGAAAAATAATTTTTGGATGGCTTTATTTTTGCTACAGTCCTTATGACTTCATTAGTCTATAGAACATTAGTTGATAAAACTTAGAACTATAATTTGAATGCTTCACTGAACTTTAATTTTTCCATGAACATCTCTTATTTAACTTTATTTGTGCCTTTTTGGAATTTTATTTAACTCAAGGCATCTATTCAGAAGAGTGTTTTCGAAGATGACCTCCCTTTCTTAGAATTCACTGGATCCATTGTTTATAGTTATGAAGCTAGTGATTGTTCTTTTCTGTCAGAAGATATTAGGTAAGAGATTTGAATTTCCTAGTTTCATTTCAATTTGGACCCTTAGAAGATAACTATTATAACAGTATTTGTAAGTATACTGAATTTTACAGTTAAGGTGTGTTCCATAGATAATCATTTCTACATGTAGAATATCATTTGACAAGTTCTAATTTTATGTTAAAACTTAAAATCACTGGATTAAATGTGTAATGTACCTGTTTGTTCATTCATAATCATTTCTATTACTTCGCTAATTTTTTTGTAACTTTCAGGATTTAAATACTTAAATAAGCACATTGTTTATTTCACCAATGAACCAATGAACACATTGTTTATTTCACCAACGTAGGACAAAAAAATGCAAGAATTATTCAACCTCCAAGTGCCCCTTTTATATTTCATTAAAAATAAGAACCTAGTAGTGAATAATGGTTGTGATTAGCTCTGTTGCCCTTAGTTAGCAACAATTATAGCAAATGATTCCTAAGAAGAACATTAGAAATGACTGTTAGTATTTTTTAAAATTGCCTTGTTAAATTAGGACTATGCAATAATGTAATCCAAGGCTCTTGAAGTGTTTTACAAGGAGAGAAGTAGGGAATCATTCAGATCTTTGAAGTTCTATACCTTTTTTTTTTTTTTAAACTGTTGTACATTGCAATGGTTGAAAGATACAGAGGTAAGTTAATCTATTTATTAATGATCTTCTGGTGGTAGATGAATTCTAGAAATAGTATTCAGGTGTCCTCACTCCTACTATGGTTAACTGGCCACTTTTGGATCTCATTATATAGAACAAAATTTGTCTCATGGAGAAGGTAAAATCTGTCATTTATGATTATATATTAACTCCACCATCTCACCTTTGTCAGTGCTGTAGCATGTCATATTTAAAGGCAATAAGCTTAAAGTGATTTGAGGAAGGTAGTTCCAATGAATTCTGTGTATATTATGATAGGCAGACTTTTTTGTCTTACCCCCAGTGGCTACCTTAAAGATTTTTGCTATCACAGGTTTTCAACAATTTGATTATGATATGCCTTTGTGTAGTGTGGTTTGTCTTCATCCTGCTTGGGGGTTCGTTGAGCTGTTTGGGTGTGTGGTTTCTAGTCTCATCAGATTTAAAATATTTCTTTAGATTTTTTTTTTCCCCCTTATCCTGTTACTCTTTTCTCCTTCTGGTAGTCTCTATACACACAGGTTGGATTGCTTAATACTGTGTCATTGGTCATGGGGTTCTCTTCCCTTTCAGTCTTTTATTGTTTTTCTTTAATTCTTTTTCTCTCTGTGTTTCGGTTTGAATCGTTTCTTTTGCTATGTTTGCAAGTTCACTTTTTTCCTTCTGTAGTGTCTGTCATCCCATTCTGTGAATTTTTAATTTTATTGTATTTTCGTCTCTGGAAGTTCCATTTGTTTCTTTTTAGAAAATATCTTCCATTTTGGCTCTCATATTCATGTTTTCTTTTAAATATTTGAACATATTCAGCATATTTATAATGGTTGTCTTAGTGTGCTTGTCTGTTTATTCCATTATTTTAGGTTTTTTTCTGTGAAATGATTTTTATCCTGGTTAGGGGGTCACATTTTCTTGTTTTTTCCTAATACCAGTGGTTTTGATTGGACATTGTGATTTTACCTTGTTGGGTGTTGGATTTGCTTCTTTTTCTTCAAAGAAAAGAGCTTTGCTCTGTCAGACAGTTAAGTTACCTGAAGATCAGCTTTTACCTTTTGAGCCTTTATTTTTAAGATTTATTAGGGCAGGTCGATAGGAGTCTTCACTCTGGGAATAATTTAGCCCTATAATAAGGTGTGACCCTTCTGGAGTCTTTGCTGACTGCCCCAGGCGATCAACAAGACTCTCTAAGGTGACTTTTCAGAGCTTTAATGCCTATTCCCTGCATGTAAGCCCTAGGAATTGTTCATCTGATGATTCCCTGGTTGTTCTTTGTGCATTCTATTTCTTGCCTAGCTCCCTCCTCTCCAGGAACTACTTCCAGCTCCCTCAGCCTGTCTGGCTCTGCACCCTGTCTCCCTAACTCAGTGCTCTGCTTTGACTTCTCCCTGTTCTGGTGTCTGGAAAGTCCAGATAGAAAGCGGGGGCAGCAGTAGGGCTCCCGCATGGTTTCCTTTCCCTCAGAGAGCATAGTCCTATATTGCCTATTGTTCAGTGTCTGAAAACTGTTGTTTACCTATTTTGTCCAATTTTCTGTTTGTTCATAGAGGAAAGGTGTGTCTGATCACTGTTACTCCATCTTGGCCCAATGCAGAAGTTGAGATTCTTTTGTGATATACATTTCTAACTTTTAAAAATTATAAAATAGGCAAATATAAACAAAAATAGAAAATAATATAAAAAAACCCTAGCTTTAGCAAATCTTAATATCCATTTTCTTTAAATCTTTATTAAGAAATGTTACGATAAAATACAGCTGAAACCCCAGGTATGTCCTTACTGATTCTCCCCCCTGCAGCCCTCTGAGATACCTTCTATCATGAGTTCAGCATTTAACATTCCCTCACGTGTTTTCTATTATATCTATGCTTTTATATCCCCAAATACCATATGCTGTTATAAGAGTCAAAAACACAAGTTTTTGACTCAACATTTTAAGGTTTTTGAGAATTTTTCTTCTGGGTATATGTAGTTTTATTTTAATTTGTATTTAATATTTAATTGTTTCCGTATGCCACAATTTGTCCATTCTTTTGTTGATGGAAATGCAGTTTGTTTCCATTTTTGCCAGTAAGAGCAGTATTACAATGAACATTCTTTTTTAAAAGCAAATTTTTATTTTTTAAAGATTTATTCATTTACTTTAGAGAGAAAGTGAGAGAGAGAGAGAGAGCACACACACACGAACGAGTGTGAGTGGGGGGAGAGGCAGAGGGAGAAGAGAGAGGAACCTCAGGCGGACTCCCCGATAAACTCAGAGCCTGATGCAGGGCCAGTCCCAGACCCTGAGATCATGACCTGAGCCGAAATCAAGAATTGGATGCCTAACCGACCAGGCCACCCAGGTGCCCCTGCAATGAACATTCTTTTTTTTTTTTTTTTTTTTTTTTTTTTTTTTTTTTTTTGACAGAGAGAGAGCCACCAAGAGAGGGAACACGAGAGGGAAGAGGGTCAGAGGGAGAAGCAGACTCCCTGCTGAGCAGGGAGCCCGACGCGGGACTCGATCCCGGGACTCCAGGATCATGACCTGAGCCGAAGGCAGTCGCTTAACCAACTGAGCCACCCAGGCGCCCCCTGCAATGAACATTCTTAAATATCTGTCTGGTTGTGCGCATCTGAGAGTTTGATATATTTATGAGAAAAAACTTGCAGGTCATAGTGTTTATACGTCTTCAGCTAAATATTGTCAAAGCCTTTTCTAAAAGGATTTTACCAATTTACATTCACCAGTGTTTGAGCAGTCCCACAGGTAGATATCTTTCTCAGCACTTGATCCTGTGAGACTTTAATTACTGCCACTCATATATATTTGAAATTATATCGATTAATTTGCATCCGATTTCAAGTGAGGTTTCATGTCTTCACATATTTATTTGGATTTATTGGCTATTTGGATTTTTTTTATGGAAATTGCCTGTTTATATTTTTCCTCCCCGTCCTCCTCCTCCTCCTCCTTCTTACTGGATTATCTGTCTTTTTCTTACCAATTTTTCAAGGAATTTCTAATATTTTCTGGCTATTTATTATCAGGTCTTTGTATCATAGATATCTTCTACCATATACGGCTTGTCTTTTAATTTTTGGAATGCAGCAGTTATATAGAAGTTAAAATTTTAATGTAATTTGCACTGTTTTCCCCCCGTAGCACGAATCTGTCTCCTGGAGGTGTTGTAGGATTTGACATGGAATGGCCACCAGTATACAATAAAGGGAAACTGAGCAGAGTTGCTCTGATTCAGTTATGTGTGTCAGAGAGCAGATGTTACTTGTTTCATATTTCTTCTATGTCAGGTTGGTATCTCTTTTCTTTGTTTCATTTTTGTATGGTTGATAGTTGTATTATGTCAACTTTATTCCTATAAAATTAAGCTTTTGAATTAGCTGGTGCTTCTCTCATCACCTTACATTTATTGAAGTATTCATGTTCCACCTGATTCATTCATATCCCTGTTTTATTTATTTTTACAACATCTCCATCAGGCATTGATATTATTCCTGGTGTAGACAGTATAGAACTGAAGTTTGGAGGGGCTAACTGATCAGGAATATACTGTTAATGTTAGCAGAGGAAGTTTTCAGACCAGTTGTTTGTGTTGTCATTTATCAGTCAGGACTTTGCTTCAGGTAAGAAAAGAAATGCTCAAGGTGGCAGTGCCTGGGTGGCTCAGTCAGTTAAGTGGCTGCCTTTGGCTCAGGTCATGATCCCTGGGTCCTGGGATTGAGCCCCACATTGGGCTCTCTGCTTCTCCCTCTCCCCTCTGTGCTCTCTCTCTCTCTCAAATAAGTAAATAAAATCTTTTAAAAAAATACTCAAGGTGAATGTGTTTCTGAATTTAAGCTTAACATAAACAAATTTAAATATAAACATAGAATGTGTAAGAAGTAGAAAATAAATCAATAATACTTGATAGAACCTATGGAAATAATAATAAAATGTTACAGTTTTTCCTCAGGGATTAAAAATGTTGCTTGAAAATGAAGCAATTAAAAAAGCAGGTGTAGGAATCAAAGGAGATCAGCGGAAACTTCTGTGTGACTTTGATATCGATTTGAAGAATTTTGTGGAGCTGACAGATGTTGCCAATGAAAAGGTAGACATAAGGCGTGCAGTTGTTGTGATGAGCCCTGGGTGTTGTGTGGAAGTGTTGAATCACCATGTTGGGACACCTGAAAATAATATTTCACTGTATGTTAACTAACTGGAGTTTAAATAAAAAACTTAAGAAAAAAAGGTAGATGTGATACATATATTATTTTCATAAATAAGATTGTGTTTCACAGAATGTCCCATCTATCTGAATGTTAGATATTTTGAAAAAAATACTTGAAGCATATGTTATTATAACAGTAAAGAAGTCCCAAATGAGTATTCCATAATGAAAACCTTCAGTTCTAATCCATTGCCTTAGAGAAATTTCTTTAAGCTAGCACCCCCCACTTTAGTACTATTTCACTTTATTTCATATATTTGTAAACTTAAATATTGTATTTTAAGTTTTTCCCTTTGATCCATTTATACCAATTTTTTTTTTTTTTTTTTTTTTTTTAAGGGAAAGCATAATGTAGCTCTTGTGGTATGATGGGCTTAGTGGAGGTTTGGCCATCAATTCCATCACCCTTATTTCATATATTTTATTAATGTAGTCATTAAGTTAAATTCTCATGTTTAGCCAGATAGTCACTGGGCTGGATAGAAAGCGTACCAACCTATCCAGCTTTTTTCCATGAATAATACTTTTACAGTCCAAGAATTTTAATACCTACATTGGGGAAATTCCAGAGTTCAGTTCTTATAATGTGGACTGAAAATGAGGTTTCTAGTGGTGGGAAATTTATTAAGGACTATTTCTGCCATATATTTTGGTATAACATTTCCAATTTTATTTGCGGCATGGGCATTTGATGGTATTTAGGAATATCTGAAAATAGAAGGAAATAATTTTTTGCCGTATTAATTTTTCATTACTTCTAGCTGAAATGTACAGAGATCTGGAGCCTCAATGGTTTGGTTAAACACCTCTTTGGCAAACAGCTTCTGAAAGACAGATCTATTCGCTGTAGCAATTGGAGTGATTTTCCTCTCACTGAGGATCAGAAACTATATGCAGCCACTGATGCGTATGTATGTACCAAAGATCTTTAAATTATGATGTTTTTTATACTTTATAATAAATTACTTTAGAAGAATTTTGTTGTAATGGTTGTACAAACTCAACTAAAATATTTTAAATCAGGTTGGCATTAAAAATGCTTAAGAAGACATTCAGTGAAACTGATAATTCTCAATACTAATTAGCAAGTACCAATCAAAGTGCTAGTATTTTTAATTGTCGTGAAGCCAAAATAATGTCCAATTTCTATGTAATAAATGTAATCTCTCTGAAAACATGGAAAGCTAATAAACACAGGCTGAGTAAACGCAAATGGTACTGATGATGTATTTGATTTATAAGCAACTTCAGATAAAAATAATTATAGTTTCTATATTGAAACTGGCATTATTTCTTACAGTTACATTTAAAATGTGCTAAAAATTTAGGAAAATTACCTCCAAATTTAGCTTTCCACTGCTGTTAGTCAGTTGTATTTTCATATTTACATATTCATACATACTGAAATTTAGGCTTATCTTAATGTATAGCATTATTTGTTTTTTGCAGGAAATATATTTTATGTCCCTGTGGATTTCTTTTTCCCTAATTTATACTTTCATTTGTAGATGAACATCTTGTTGTTTCCCTTTTGCATCTGTTTTTAGGCCTGGAAACTCCTTTTTTTAAAAACAAAAAAATTCAATCTTGTCAGGAAATAGGGTGATAATTTTCCTTTACATTCTGTTAAAAAAAAATTGTAGAACTTGTTGAGAACTCGTGCAAGTGCTGTAGCATTTTTATTCATGAAAAGTCAGTGTGACTTGGTTGTTCCTGTTAACAGTGCCTGGAAGGAGGGCTGTTCATACGCCGACATTCACAGCTGATTTAATGAGATACGGGGGAGTGGATATGTGTCGCCAAAACAGATTTCTCTCACTTGATTGTATTTTGTTGGAGTCCCACTTATAAGTTATTCGATTTGGATAACTCCTTAAATATCGAATATTAAAAGATAAAAATTTAAAACTTTTAAGGCGCAAGCAGCTTACTTTCTCCATTCTCGAAATTGGTATGGTGATTTAATGAAGACATAGATCGTTGTGTAACATAATAAGTTGAATGCAGCTTTTTGGGTGCTTTGGGAGTCACTGTTTTGGATTTGTCTAAAGATGGGACATACAGCTTTATTTTGGTTATCTTTAGCTTACTGTTCACTTTTCTGCTTTTTTTTTTAATAGGCCGGTCTCATCATTTATCAAAAATTAGAGATTTTAGGTGATGCTGTGCAAAGGTTTGCTATAAATAAAAAAGGTATGTGGTGCTCTAAAAATAAAAAATAAAATTTGAATTTGCTCTTTTGTGAGGTTTATCTTCAAAAAGTGAATATTTACACATGTGCAAACTGTTTAGTATTACAACAACTTGAGTGTCTGAACTGTGTTGACAATAGGGTGTGAGATCTCTCTGGTCAAAGATTAGAGTTTCAGGCACATTACTTGTGGCAGAGGAGGATTTTACTACTGCTTTGTCACATTGCTATTCCTTAGCCTTCTTTAGGTGGGGCTTTGTGGCTTTGATAACATTAGTGACACACCCAGTTATCTCCCAGTCTGGAGATTATTACATCCTTGCTATAAATAAAGTGTACAAGTTACTTGATAGTGTCCTGGTTTAAATTTCTAAATTTTTTCTAGGGTAAGATAACTGCTGTTTTTCTCCAAAAAGTATGGCCACTTTGTTCAACTTCAGTGCTTTTCTCAGATATCTCAATAGGTCAGCGATAGCAGACCTGCATAGTAGAGTGGAAGAGCATTGGCTTTCATGTCACAGAAATCAAAGGGGAATCTCTGCCATGTGATTTGAGATTTACATGTTTCCCCATGTTTGGAATGTAGCTGATAGCCACATACCTATTGCATAGAATAGTTGTGAGCACTAAGAGGAACAGAATATTATAAGCACCTGTATTGATCTACAGAGTTGTTATTCTTATTCTTGTAGCTTCTTTTGGAGATTTTAAATAATTGTGTTTGTTATGATGTTAATTAAATGAGGGGCGCCTGGGTGGCTCAGTCATTAAGTGTCTGCCTTTGGCTCAGGTCATGATTCTGGGGTCCTGGGATCGAGCCCTGCATCGGGCTCCCTGCTTCTCCCTCTCCAACTCCCCCTGCTTGTGTTCCCTCTCTTGCTGTCTCTCTCTCTTCCTCAAATAAATATATAAAATCTTAAAAAAGATGTTAATTAAATTAGTGATTTTGCTAAATAAGCTTATATGGTGTGACCTCATATAAAATTATATTGTACCCTTATTAATTGCCATTGAAAAGGGATTCATGTCCTTTGTAATAGACCCTCCTTCTTTACCTATTAAGGTAGAAGACTCCTTATGCTTTCTTTCTTTCCCTGGAAAGCCACTTCTGATGAGAGCTTGCTGACTCTCTATAGCCAAAGGTACTGTGGCTAGAAATTATCTTGCTTAAATTGAACGGATGATAGGTTTTTGAAGCTGATCTGGAGAACAGTATAGAACTTATTTAAATCATAACAGAATTAAACTCAACAGAGGGGAATTCATGGTTTTCTGAATTTGTGGTTTGCAGAATTACTTCTAGGTTATACTTGCAATTTTATCTCTGCTTAAAATGCTTCTGAGGAAATGTTTAAGATATTTCTCACTAAAGTACCATATATTTTTAAGTCGCCACTAGAAGTCCTGGTATCTGTGTACCTGTCATTTCAATACTGCATTGTTTGACCCTCACTTTTATTCTTTATTGCATTATATGTGTGAGTAAATTTTGTTTGACATCTGAAGTGAGGTACCTTGACTAGGATCCTAGTGGATTGTAACAAAGATTACCAGTCTTTCTTTTTTTCTTCACTCCCTCCCTTCCTGTTATGAAGCCAGAGGTATCAGCCTCACTGTTGTTTAATTTCCCTGGTGTATTTATATATGATATTTTCAAATGACCACTTTTGGTTATACAGTTGTGTTTTTTCTTCTTACTAAAGAATTAAAGTGGATTATAACATCAGAAAATAAAAGGATATTTGCACATTGTTTCTCCTTGTTAAATATTAGCTTACTCAGGATGGTAGCTAATAAACACTAAACAAGATACCAGATAAAAATAAACTTACTCATTTATTAAAAATTTTTTAGCACTTTATGATGTGGGGATACAGTAATAAACAAGACACTCATGATCTGCTTCCTGAGAGGGAAATCTACAGGTTTGTAGGGGATATAGAGATGAACAAAAAAGGCATAGGTATAGGGAAATGAGTCTCATGATGTGGGAAAACAGGGCGCTGCGGTTAGCACATAGGAGAGCCATCTGATACGTATTTGGAAGTATGGCAGTATTTCCTGGAGAAAGTGAGGTTTAAGGCAAGACCTGAAATAGGATCAGGAGTTAGGTAGCGGAAGAGTAGAGGAAAAGTGTCATAGGCACAGGAGACAGCAGGTGCAAAAAGAGACCATAGTATCGACAGGCAACTTCATGAAAGTAGTTCAGCGTGGTGAACTGTTGAACATGATGGAGTGAGGGATAGAGACGCAGAACAAGGAAAGCAGATAGGCCATGTTTACATGAGGAGTTTAATTTCCTCCTGAGAGGTACTGGGGGGTTTAAACACAGGAGTGACATGAATTACATTAAAAAAAAAGAAGAAGAAAAAAAAGAATAACTTGTACTGTAGAGTCGAAAATGGATTGTAGGAGGGCAAGGGTCATGGTAGGAAACCTCCTTAGGAGGCTGAGAGAGCAATCCAAGGGAGAGGCGGTGGTGACCCGGCTTGGATGGTTGTATTGAGAATGGAGAAGGGGATAGATTCTAAATACATTTACTAGAGCAGTAGAATCAGCAGAATTTGGTGTGATGATGAGAGCCATGTGTCAAGGATCATTACTGTGTTGTTGTCATGAACAACAGGGTGAAAACCATTGAAAAGAAGGAGCAAGCTTTGGAGCTGAGGAGTCACAGTTGATTTTAGACATGTTAAAGGAAGGAGGGCTGTCAGATAGCAAGGTGGAGGTGGCCAGGGGCACTTAGATATCCAGGCTGTGGCTTAGAGGACAGTTTTTGTTAGAGATAAAAAACCGGGACTAAGAATTTTGAGGAACTCTTAGTATTTCATGTTTGCATGGGGGAAGGGACAGCAAAGGAGTTGCCTGCCATTGGCATAGAAGGAAATTAGGAGATACCGTGTGCTGAAAGCTAAGTGAAGAGCTACGTAGGAGGTGTTATCAATCTGTTTTAAGTCCTGCTGAGAATTTGAGAAACTGAGGATTTAGAATTAATCATCAGTTTTGGCAACGTGGCAACCATCTGTAACCTTTGACCCCAGCACCTTTGGTGTACTGGGTGACAAAAGAGTGTTCCAGGGAGAGAGTGGTTTTTGGGGGCATGTGCTATTAAAACAGAAAAGGGTCTACAGGCTTTGGGAACATGAAGGTGCTATAAGCAGAGCAAGAGTGGAGTAGTGGAGTGGTGTGAGTAGAAATCACATTAACGTGAATAGAGGAGTTATTAGATCTAAGGAACATGAGAAAGTATGTATAAACAACTTCTTTTTTAGAAGATTGGTTTGGAAAGGGGCTATTCATTCATTCATTCATATGACATATTTGATGGGTTTTTATTATGAGTCAGGCACAGTTTCAGTTATAGGAGAAAGTGGACTGAACACAGGAGACCAAGCGCCTTCACTTCATTTCACAGAAATGAGCGAAAGAGCCATGTGACTATCTGAGAGAAGAATGTAGCAGGCATCGGGGAAAGAGCTAAGTGTCTGAGGGTGATTGCTTGCCTTATTTGAGGAACAGTGAGGATAACTGAAGCGAAATGAGTAAGGGTCAGAGTGGGAGGAAATGAGGCTAGAAAAGGAGCTTAGGCTGGATCATTTAGGGCCTTATAGGTGGTGACTATGGCTTCATATTTTATTAATTACAATAAATATAAAGTAGAGTGATGGGAAACCCTAGAGGGTTTGGAGCAGAAAAATGACATGATTAAATTTTAGATTAAAAGGATTTTTTTTTTTTTTTGGCTGCTATAAAGGGGCAAGTGTTTAGACAGGGAAGGCTGTTAGGCTACTATAGTAGTCCCAGCAGGAGATGACAATTGTTTGGATTAGGCTGGTAGCAGTAGAGATGGTGAGACGTGGTAGATTGTGTATATGTTTTGAAGGTGTAAATTGTACCTTCACAATTTTTGTTAAATTTTTGATTTGCCGATGAATTCTCCATAAGGGGTAATATCTAGAGACTGAGAGGACAATGTTTATTTTGATTGGATCAGCTGAGTGAATGGAAGGATCAGTTATGGTGGAAAGATTATGGGAAAAGTGGGTTTGGGTGAGAAAAATCTAGATTTCAGTTTTGGATATGCTAAATTTTAGATGCTTATTGATATCCAAGCAGATACCACAGTTGGAAATGGTGATTCTGGAGTTCAGAGGAAAGGTTGAGGTTGGAGATGTAATTTTGGGAAACATTAAGATATAGATGGCAGTTAAAGCAGTGAAAGGAGATGAAAGGGAGTGACTGGAATAAAGAACAGAGGGGGCCCAAGTATTGATGTCGAGGGCACACCGACGTTTAGAGATCAGGGAGATGAAGAGAGCGCATTGAAGAGGGTCTGAGAAGGGGCAGTAGTGAAAGACGGAGTGTTGAGAGGTGTCGTGTCCAGAAGCCGCAGGAAGAACGTGTTTTAAGGAGGAGGACGTTATCAACTGTTTTAAATAGCTGAGAATCTGAAGGAGATGAGGAACTAGACCTGACAATTAGATTTGACAGTGTGGAGGCCCTGGGTAACCTTTCCCAAAGCAGCCATGCTGTACTGGTGGGGGCGAAGGCTTGGTTGGAGTCTGTTTAGGGGAAAATGGGAGTAGAAAATTTGAGACAGTGTGTGTGGACAACTCTTTCATGGAATTTTGCTGTAAATGAGAGTAGTTCTGTGAGTACAGGCTAATTAGCAGATGGGGGGTGGGAAGATGAGATAGTTCTCTTTTTCTGTTTTCTTAGTGTAATGAGGGGTGAGGTTGTTCCCTGAGTAAAAGGAGGAGCAAGCAGATGTTAGAGGCTTGGAGAGAAAGAAAGAGGTATGAAATAGTCATCTCGATAGTAGGAAAGTGGGAAATATAGAATATTTAACAGTCACTGCTGAGGATTCCTTTGAGATCTGTGTCATGAATTTAAAGCAAGCTGAGTCACCTTGGCTGTGTTTTATCTTCAACTATAGTCAACTCTTTGAGTATAGGCATCAAGTAGGTAAAAAAGCTGGGTTTGATTAGAGTAGGGGTTTTCCTAGATAAAAAGTACCATGGAGGGAGGAAGGAGCAAAAGAGGTCAGAGTCCATACAAGGGAATGATTATTAAAAATGAAAAAAAACATTGTGGGGAGTGGGAGGGATAAGGTATATGGAAAAGGTGGTAGGATCAGTGGATTTGGTTCTGCAAGTGGAAAGAATAGTTGTATTGGGGAGGGCATACTGGAAAGCAAGCCAGCATGCTGGTGTTTAGAGGGTGGAATGCTTACAACTGAAGTTTGGAAGTAGTGACTTTATTGGCAATTACAAGGTCACATGACTCTCGAATGGGTGCCTGAGGTCAGTGGAGGAAAAGATCATTGGAAATGGAAGGATCAAAGCACTGAAAAGGCCACACTTTTAGGTGGAATTATCACAGGAGTAGTAGTGAAGGGAAAGACAGTGAACTGGGCAGTAAAATCTTCAATGAATGAAAGGATGTGATTTTGAGGTCACAAGATGCAGCCATCAGGAATAACAGATGGTACAGTCCTATGTCACATGCTTCAGAGGAGCTGGACTTTTGAAGGACAAGAGAAAATGGTGATGAGCTGTAAGAAACTCTCAGCAGGGGAAGAATTCGAGGAAGGAGCGCAGGTGTGGTGTTGATGGAGAAGGATGTACCAGACAGAATGAAGTTGAGAGTTTGGAAGATAACTGCTGATTGGAAAGGCTTGCATTTTATTTTGGTCATAACTGATAAGAAGGGAAGTGAGGCATGGCTGTTGGCTCAGGTTATGTTTACTAAGCTATGTTTCATAACTAATAGCCCACAGAAATCAGTTCTGATTTTGATAGTGTAGATGGGTTCAGATTCTCATTTCTGCCTTCTTCTGTCTAGGTTGGTAACCACTGGTTGTAATATGTATGAATGTAGATCATTTGGAATTTATTCTAAAATTCAAGTAGCAAAAATCTGAAAGGGAAATAAAGTGAGGTGATATGGAGATAGAATAAGGAAGTCCTTTTGTTGGAATTCACTTAAGGAAAGAAAATGAAACTGTGACCCCTACAACTGTTTAAATAAATGGCTAACTAAATCTCTCTGCTTTGTGGTTTGAAAATTAACATTGATTCTTTTTGTCCAGAGGAGGAAATGCTACCTAGTGATGTGAAGAAACAATTGACTTCAATCTCTGAGGATATGATGGATCTGGCTAAGCGTCTTCCTGACACTTTGAAAAAATTGGAAAATCCACAGAGGTTAAATATTACCTGTTTTTACCAATTCTTTTTGTTCTTACTGCACATTCCTATTTATAACGAATTACTGTTTATTAAGGTAGACTCACAGAAATTTTCAAAAACATTTTTTATTTAAATTCAGTCTAGTTGACATATACTGTAGTATTAGTTTCAGGGGTAAAATTTAGTGATTCATCACTTGCATATAACACTCAGTGCTCATTACATCACGTTGCCTTCTTAATGCCCATCACCCAATTACTCCGTTCCCCCACTCACCTCTCCTCCAGCAACCCTCTGTTTGTTTCCTATAGTTAGAGTCTCTTATGGTTTGCCTTCCTCTCTGTGTTCATTTTATTTTATTTTTCCTTCCTTCCCCTATGTTCATCTGTTTTGTTTATTCAATTCCATATATGAGTGAAATCATATGGTGTTTGTCTTTCTCTGGCTGACTTATTTTGCTTAGCATAATACCCTCTAGTTCCATCCAGGTTGTTGCAGATGGCAAGATATCATTCAGGACACTGGGATCATGACCTGAGCCGAAGGCAGACAGTTAACCAACTGAGCCGCCCAGGTGCCCTGCAGGATTTCATTCTTTTTGATGGCTGAGTAATATTCCGTTATATATATACACACACATACCCCCTCCACATCTTTATCTGTTCATGAATCAGTGGACATCTGGGCTCTTTTCATATTTTGGCTATTGTGAACATTGCTGCTATAAACATTGGGGTGCATGTGCCCCTTCAAATCACTGTGTTTGTATCCTTTGGATAAATACCTAGTAGCGCAACTGCTGGGTTGTAGGGTAGTTCTATTTTTAACTTTTTGAGGAACCTCCATGCAGTTTTCAGAGTGGCTGCACCAGTTTGCATTCCCACCAACAGTGTAAGAGGGTTCCCCTTTCTCCACAACCTTGCCAACATTTGTCATTTCCTGAGTTCATTTTAGCCATTCTGACAGGTGTGAAGTGGTATCTCATTGTGGTTTTGATTTGTATTTCCCTGATGCCTAGTGATGTTGAGCATTTTTTCTTGTGTCTGTTGGCCACTTGTATGTGTTCTTTGGAGCAAATGTCTGTTCATGTCTTCTACCCATTTCTTGCCTGGATTTTTTTTTTTTTTTGGATGTTCGGTTTGATAAGTTCTTTATATATTTTGGATACTAGCCCTTTGTTTGGTAAGTCAGTTATCTTTTCACATTTCATAGGTTGCCTTTTAGTTTTGTTCACTGTTTCCTTTGCTGTGCAAAAGCTTTTTATCCTGATGAAGTCCCAATAGTCCATTTTTGCTTTTGTTTCCTTTACCTTTGGAGACGTGTCTAGCAAGAAGTTGCTGCGACCAAGGTGAAAGAGGTTGCTACCTGCATTCTCCTCTAGCATTTTGATGGATTCCTCTGTCACATTTAGGTCTTTCATCCATTTTGAGTATATTTTTGTGTATGGTGTAAAAAAGTGGTCCAGTTTCATTCTTCTGCATGTGGCTGTCCAATTTTCCCAACACCATTTGTTGAAGAGACTGTTTTTCCATTGGATGTTCTTTCCTGTTTTGTCAAAGATTAGTTGGCCATAGAGTTGAGGATCCATTTCTGGGTTCTCTATTCTGTTCAAAAAATAGAAATGGAAGGAAATGTTCCTTCTATCCATATTTTCTTGAAGGTTTTTATAAAGAAAGGATGCTATATTTTGTCAAATGCCTTTTCTGCATCTACTGAGAGGATCAAATGGTCTTATACTTTCTTTTATTAATGTGCTGTATTACGTTGAGTGATTTGCAGATATTGAACCACCCCTGAAGCCCAGGAATAAATCCCACTTGGTCATGGTGAATAATCCTTTTAATGTACTGTTGGATTTGATTAGCTAGCCTCTTGCTGAGAATTTTTGCATCCATGTTCATCAGGGATATAGGTCTGTAATTCCTCTTTTCAGTGGGGTCTTTGGTTTTGGAATCAAAGTAATGCTGGCCTCATAGAATGAGTTTGGAAGTTTTCCTTCCATTTCTATTTTTTGGAACGGTTTCAGAAGAATAGGTATTAATTCTTCTTTAAATGTTTGATAGAAATCCCCTGGGAAGACATCTGGCCCCAGACTCTTGTTTGTTGGGAGATTTTTGATTACTAATTCAATTTTCTTTCTGGTTACAGGTTTGTTCAGGTTTTCTATTTCTTCCTGCTTCAGTTTTAGTAGTTTATATGTTTCTAGGAATTTATCCATTTCTTCCAGATTGTCTAATTTGTTGGAACATAATTGCTCATGGTATTCTCTTATAATTGTTTGTATTTCTGTTGGTTGTGATCTCTCCTCTTTCATTCATGGTTTTATTTATTTGGGTCTTTTTTCTTTCTGATAAGTTCGCTATGGGTTTATCAGTCTTATTAATTCTTTCAAAGAACCAGCTCCTAGTTTCATTCATCTGGTCTGTTGTGTTTTTGATTTCTCTATCATTGATTTCTGTTCTAATCTTTATTCTCTTCTCCTGCTGGATTTAGGCTTTAGGTATAAGGTTAGGTTGTGTATTTGAGACCGTTTTGTTTCTTGAGGAAGGCCTGTATTGCTATATATTTCCCTCTTAGGACTGCCTTTGCTGCATCCTAAAGGTTTTGAACTGTTGTGTTTTCATTTTCATTTGCTTCATGTATTTTTAAAATTCTTCTTTAATTTCCTGGTTGACCCATTCATTCTTTAGTAGGATGTTCTTTAACCTCCATGTATTTGTGGTCCTTCCAAATTTCTTTTTGTGGCTGACTTCAAGTTTCATAGCATTGTGGTCTAAAAATATGCATGATATGATCTCAGTCTTTTTGTACTGGTTGAGATCTGATTTGTGACCCGTATGTGATTTGTTCTGGAGAATGTTCAACGTACACTGGAAAAGAATGTGTATTATGCTGCCTTAGGATGAAATGCACTGTATCTATCTGTTAAGTCCATCTGGTCCAGTGTGTCATTCAAAGCTCTTGTTTCCTTGTTGATCTTCTGCTTTGACGATCGGTCCTTTGCTGGGAGTGGACTGTTAATGTTCCCTACTATTATTGTATTATTACCAATGAGTTTCTTTAATTTTGTTATTAATTGGTTTATATAATTGACTGCTCCCAAGTTAGAGGCATAAATATATACAATTATTAGATCTTCTTGTTGGATGGACCCCTTTATTATGATATAGTGCCCTTCTTCATGTCTTATTGCAGTCTTTGGTTCAAAATCTAGTTTGTCTGATATAAGAATGGCCTTCCAGCTTTCTTTTGATGTTTATTACCATGATAAATGGTTCCCCACCCCCTCACTTTCAATCTGGTGGTGTTTTGGGGTCTAAAATGAGTCACTTGTAGGCAGCATATTGATGGGTTTTGTTTTTTTATCCATTCTGATACCCTGTATCTTTTGATAGGAGCATTTAGTTCATTTACATTCAGAATAATTATTTGAAAGACATGAATTTAGTGCCATTGTATTACTTGTAAAGTCACTGTTCCTGTAGATTGTCTCTGTTCCTTTCTGCTCTTTGTTACTTTTGGGCTCTCTCTCTGCTCAAAGGATCCCCTTTAATATTTCTTGCAGGGCTGGTTTAGTGTTCACAGATTCCTTTAGTTTTTGTTTGTCCTGGAAACTCTTTATCTTTCCTTCTATTCTGAATTACAGCCTTGCTGGATGAAGTATTCTTGGCTGCATATTCTTCCCATTTAGCACATTGAATACATCATGCCAGTCCTTTCTGGCCTGCCTGCTCTCTGTGGACAAGTCTGCTGTCAGCCTCATGTGGGTTGACTGATAGAAATTTGCTTCAGTACATGCACACAGACTGATCTATAAATTTGAGAAATATCTTTCTAGTTGTTAAATTGCCCATTAAGAAGTTTAAGGCTTTTTTGTCTGCTTTGTAGGATGTTTTATGAAACAAGGCAAAATAAAATTCAGATATCCACAGAAAGGAAAATATTTTAGATTCAAAGTTGTCTTTTTCTTTTGTTTATGGGCATCTCTTATTTAATTATATTCATGATTTGGTCACCTAAAATGTATAAATAAAAACAACTTTTATATTTAGTAGCTTCATTTTTTGGGTTTTTATCTGATTTTGTAAATAGGAATTTTGTGTAATCACTAGACTATTAGAACAAGAGGCATTCAGATTTTAAATGCCATTTTATAGCTAAAGCCCTAGATAATTTGAGATATTTGGATTAATAGACATTGGATTACTGGTGCCTTGTAGCTAATTCTGGAACCAGGCCTTGCCCTAGCCTTAATTGCTGAATGACTTCCTTGAATAGCAGGAATGCTCTTGAACAGGGAATTATGACAATATAGTTATATATTGAGGCAAAAATACTTTGTAGAATGTCATGCAGTTAGTTGAAACAGAATTCTGATTCTGACAAAATACAGTGTTAGTGTATTTTTTTTGGCTGAGATTTGTGATCAATTTTGATTCTGATATTTCAAAATATGATGATTCAGCTCTTTTTCAAAGTCCTTTTTACCCCCTAGCAATTTGTTTTAGTAGTTTTTATGTAACCGAGAATTTCTGAAAGACATAACTGTCAAATGGGGATAGGTAACAATAAAGCCATTTCGTATTCAATTTTACATTTTTCCCTCTGTGAAAGAAAAATAATCACTTTTACGTGATGTTTACATGTATTTCAGATTTTTGTTCTAGCACTTAAACTATCTATTGAATGTAAATTATGTCTGCTTAATGCTTTGCTTTGTAATAACAAAGCTAAATAGGTTTTCTTAAAACTTGAGAATGGGAAATACTGGATTCATTTTTAGTAAAGAAAGATCTTGTCAAGTTTCAGTGTCAAACAGGGACTAGTTAAATTTATTTCAGGTTCTTTGTAAGAAGCCTACAGTAATACCTGATTTACCAAATTATGCCTCAAAACCAGGGAGGAACAAAAAATGCTAAATACATTTAGCATTCTGAATGCTAAAATACATGTCATAAGTGTGAGTTCAAACCCATTTAACTGCATTTCCAGTGGAGTGCATGAGGGGACATTCAGAGCATATTTGCTTCTCATTTATAGATACAGTTTGACAAGCTTAGATATCCAGTTAAAATGAAAACCAGGTATTGATAAGGAATGGTATGCACATGACCACAGCTGGAAGTTAGAGCTGGCAATCTGTGAAAGAGTGTACAAAAGTATAAAAATTAGAACTGAGAACTTTTAAAATAGAGTAGTTTGAGTTTTGTTACAGAAGGGAACAGCTGTATGCTTCAGTGAACCTGGAAGCTATTGGATTGTACAGTATTACTCATTGATTTAAATTCATTACACATCTGTTGTATTGCTGTCAGATACTTAACATTCTGTTGGGTGCTGAGGCTTTCTGTAGGCTACTAATATGCATAATAACAATCCTAAGAAAGAAGGAAAAGTATATTATGTTTTACCAAAGACAGCCTTTGATATTTGTTAGAGTAAATAGTTATCTTACATGAGACATGTCATTCTCTGATGTTAGCACAGAATAAATGGGCCCTTACAGTGTTATCAATCTGTATGTCACTGTCACTGTTTATGTGTTACAACTTTCCTATGCATTTAATAATTAAATGGTGTCACATATCTGTTCCTACTAAAGTATTTATGTACAGTTCTTATATTTGAATACCTGTGTATAATAAATACTGAGTGTTCTTTATAAGATTTGAAGAATTTTGGAATGTTAGAATTAGTGAGTTTTTAGGTTTTAAATTAATTGATTTGATTTTGTTTGTATTGATGTAGACTTGTCACCTTGAGCACAACTTTGGTGCTATTTTTAGTGTGGGAAAAAATCATGAAACAACTCAGCATTTTTGATAGTCTGCCCATAAATGATCAAATTTTTATTTGAATCATCAATATAAAACTTTAAAAGTCATGTTGGATTTTATGAAGTATTGTTTTCAATATAGAAGGATTAGAAGAGCTAAACAAAAGTGTTAAATAGGAAAAATGTCTCTTAATTATATTCCCTTTTCTCCCTCGAACTTGTACTTTTATGAAGTAACTAAAAATTGCTTTAGTAAACCCTATAACCAACAGGTAGTATGCTTTATTTTACACTCTAGCAGTGGTTTTCCTTTGCGGTTAACCAGGTTTGTTATAAATAGCTGTTTAAAGTCATTTAGTTAGAGGTGCCTGGGTGGCTCAGTCAGTTAAACTTCTGCTTTCGACTCAGGTCATGATCTCAGGTTCTGGGATTGAGCCCTACATCAGGCTCCCTGCTCAGTGAGGAGTCTGCTTCTCCCTCTAGCTCTGCCCCTCCTCCCCACTCGTGCTCTGTCGCTCATGTTCTCTCTCTCTCAAATAAAAAAAAAATCTTAAAAAAAAAAATGAAGTCATAAAAAAATAAAAAAATAAAAAAAATAAAGTCCCTTAGTTAAAATGTTATATTAGCAATTACAATTAAGGAGTTAAGAAATTCATATCATATTTATTCATAAACAACTTCTCCATATTTTCTTATTTGTTATATTTGTGCACTGGTGGGAATTTTTTTTTCTGACCTAAAGAATATGTGTCTGGTTTTGTGATTATTGAACATGCACAGTAGCATTATTTTTGAATTATAACATAAACATTCTTATATGTTACAGTTGAGATTAGTAATTGATTGGCAAATTGAATCAGTTAGTTAAAACATGGTAACTTAACATATTAGTCTATATTTGTTTCCCAATATTTTGATATTTATCATGGTTTTTTCATTAAATATAGGACTGCTCTTTGGGATTTTGCAAAGTGGTTCTTGTTTAAAGCACACCCATAATGTATCATCTGCAATTTCTAGTTTTAATTTCTTTAAAATAGAGTGAAAACTTAAGACACTTGAAATAATCTAAAGGCAGAGTCCTAGGAGTTTTTAAGATTTTTCCTCCTTTTATAGTTGTTTTTTTTTTAAATTAATTATTTTTTTAGAAGATTTTATTTATTTATTTGAGAGAAAGAGTGAGAGAGAGAGAGAGCACATGAGAGGGGGGAAGGTCAGAGGGAGAAGCAGACTCCCTGCTGAGCAGGGAGCCCGATGAGGGACTTGATCCAGGGACTCCAGGATCATGACCTGAGCCGAAGGCAGTCGCTTAACCAACTGAGCCACCCAGGCACCCATAGTTGTTTTGACTATAGTTAATCAGACAGAACTTTTTTTAAAAAAGAAAATTGCTGTGTCTTTCAACATGTTCAACTTAATTTTTTTTTTGGTGATCATGTATCATTAATTTGACTTATATTTAGTTAAATTAATTACCACAAAAAGTATATCTGGCATAAAGAATTAGTCTGTGACCAAACACTGCTGACACTTAGGAAGCATACAAGTGAACGAGTGTATAAGCATATATACTTAGTAAGTGTACAAGTTGAATGCAGAAGTACCTTGCTGTACTAGAGAGTAGCCAACAGCTGTAAGCATATTTTGGTTATTAGGGAATGAAAAATAACTGTAATTCAGTGTGTCCTTTAAAGAAGGTCAATTTAGAAAGCTTATACTTATTAAAAAGCATTACAACCGTGCTGGTAGTTATTGAAGTTAAAGTTGAATTACCCTTTCTTAATTTTTTTAGGATTTCTATACTATTAAGTGATATTTCAGAAAATCTGTATTCATTGAAGAAGATGATACTTGGTTCTACTGAGACCATTCAGTTTTTACCATTGGAAGATCCAACTGCTGATGGAGTACAACAGAAACAAATTAGAGAACATGTAATTTTTAGTAAAGTTAAAGAAGAGACATGGGACACAACACTTGATAATTTAATAAAACATGACGAAGGAAATGTACTTCAAAATGAAGTGAAACAAGAAGAAGATGGATTTGAAGCTGGATTAGAAGAAGGCAATAAGTTGAAAGAGAACACAGAAAGAATTTGTTTGATGTCGTTAGATATTACAGAACATGAACTCCAGATTTTGGAACAGCAGGCTCAGGAAAAATTTCTTAATGATGTTACTTGCAAATCTCCTGAGGTACTAAAAAAATAGAATAGAAAACAATTTTTATTCATTAGTAGGGGTTGGCTGATTTTTTTCTGTGAAAGGGCAGTAAACATTTTAGGCTTTGCAGATCAATCACATGTTTTCTGGTGTTACTATTCAATTCTGTCTAAAAATTTAGGGTGAGGGCGCCTGGGTGGCTCAGATGGTTGGGCGTCTGCCTTTGGCTCAGGTCATGATCCCAGGGTCCTGGGGTTGAGTCCTGCATTGGGCTCCCTGCTCAGCGGGGAGCCTGCTTCTCCCTCTGCCTTTCTCTCTGTCTCTGATGAATACATAAAATCTTTAAAAAAAAAAATTTAGTGTGAAAGCAACTATAGACAAATGTAAACAAATGAGCTTGTTTGTGTTTCGATAAAACTTTATTAACAAAAACAAAAAGTGGGCTGAATTTTGCTTGTGAGTTATAGTTTGCTGCTTTTGACTTAGTATAATAAGCACAACTTAATGGTTTTGTAATGGAAAGATTTTAAAGTGCCAGTACACATTTGCTGTACTTTGCTATTTTAGTATTTCTCCTTATTTTTATGTAATAGATACCTTGGCTTTTTGTGGATTTCCTATATACCTACTAGTGTTAACTCTTCCAAACTTGATTTTTGGGAGTAGTTATATTTCCTCATAAAAGATTTTTTTTACTTACTAATGTGAGAGGGTTTCTAATAAACTAGTGTTTTTGCTTGACACTAACCTTTACTGTTATCTGGACAGTCAGTGACCTACGTTTTTTTCTCAATAGATTGTTTTGAAGCATTCTATATTATCTGTCAACTTCATGTTTAAATTTCTAATTATTATGTTCTGAGTAGTTTAATTTTTGAGGTTGTTTTTCTCCTGGCTAAGTTAAGAATATTTATTATTTTTTAAAAGATTTTATTTATTTATTTGACAGAGAGAGACACACCGAGAAAGGGAACACAATCAGGGGGAGTGGGAGAGGGAGAAGCAGGCTTCCCGCCGAGCAGGGAGCCCGATGCGGGGCTCGATCCCAGGACCCTGGGATCATGACCTGAGCCGAAGGCAGACGCTTAATGACTGAGCCACCCAGGCGCCCCAAGAATATTTTTTTAAAATACTGAAGTTTTATTAGAGAAATCTTTGTGTTTCTTTTATTGTAAAGACAGACCATAAAATGAGACATCATATAGCTGTATTCTTTTATCTCATTTGTTTTTCATTAGTTTAGAAAATTACCTATGATGCCTATATTTGGTAGCATTTTACACATTTTATTTTGTAATAACTAAGTTTATAATTTTTAAAATCAAATTTGAAAGTTATTTAATAGGGTTATTACCCTCTTCCCTCTTAGTTTTCTAATGTCAGTCAAAAGTCTTAGTATTTGAGAAGTTCTCTGTTTGGTAACTATATTAGTAATCACTTCTACCAGTATATAAATGCATTTTATTTTAAAATGATTTTCAGACTATTTTATACCAACCACTTGTAAAACAGATTTCCCTTTTAGGAAATATCTTTTGCTAATGTCTGCATCACCCTTTAACGTTTTGAAAATTTCTTATTAGGTATACATTTTAAGACAGTATTTTTCATATACAGAATTATGATCAGGATTTCATGATCTGTCATCTTTTATCCCAGTTATTGCCATTTTTATTGTGTAATAATGAGCAATTTTTTTTAACTCATTAAAGACCCTATTTAAAAAGTAAAAGAATTTTTTTCTCTTTGTATAAAACTTATTTTAAAATCCTTTTTTAAGGGGCGCCTGGGTTGCTCAGTCAGTTAAGTGTCTGACTCTTGATTTCGGCTCAGGTCATAATCTCAGTGTTGTGAGATTGGGCCCCTTGTTGGGCTCCATGCTGGGCATGGAGGCTGCTTAAGATTCTCTCTCTCCCTCTGCCCCCACCCAATAAAGAAATAAATAAATAAAAATAAAATCCTTTTTTTTTTTAAAGATTTTATTGATTTGACAGAGTGAGAGACAGTGAGAGAGAGAACACAAGCAGGGGGACTGGGAGGGGGAGAACCAGGCTCTCCTCAGAACAGGGAGCCCGATGTGGGACTCGATCCCAGGACCCTGGGATCCTGACCTGAGCTGAAGGCAGATGCCTAATTACTGAGCCACCCAGGTGCCCCTAAAATCCTTTTTTTTAATTATTATTATGTTAATCACCATACATTATATCATTAGTTTTTGATGTAGTGTTCCACCATTCACTGTTTTCATATAACACCCAGTGCTCCATGCAGTACATGCCCTCCTTAATACCCATCACCAGGCTAACGCATCCCCCCACCCCCTCCCCTCTAGAACCCTCAGTTTATTTCTCAGAGTCCATAGTCTCTCATGGTTCATCTCCCCCTCTGATTTCCCCCTCTTCATTCTTCCCTTCCTGCTATCCTTTTTTAAGACTTGATTTTTGCAGATTAATTATGGCTATGCTTCCTTTTCCTACTTTGAATTTAAAGATTAGACTTTTGTGATCCTTCTACATTTCTTTTTTTTTTTACCTATCTTTTTCCTTTTTAATGTGGCTATCAAAGCATTTAAATTATATATATGGTTGCTACTATACTTCTATTGACAAATCCTGACCTACACAGGCCAGTTTCTCTTGCATAGCAACACAAAAGAATCCCAAAATGATAGAGGGCAGGGCATGAACACTGCAGTGAGAACTCATGACAGTTCCACTTATTAGTTGGGTGATCTTAGGTATGTTACTTATCTAATCTCAGATTTAGTTTCTTCCTTTGTAAAATGAGGGTAATTATAATTCTTATCTTTTTTAATTTTTTTAAAAATTTTTATTGTTATGTTAATCACCATACATTACATCATTAGTTTTTGATGTAGTGTTCCATGATTCATTGTTTGTGCATGACACCCAGTGCCCCGTGCAGAATGTGCCCTCTTTAATACCCATCACCAGGCTAACCCATCCCCCCACTCCCCACCCCTCCAGAACCCCCAGTTTGTTTTTCCTTCTACATTTCTATTATGCAGGGGTCCCATGCTGTTGGGACACTTGCTTCCTGGGGATTGCCAAATTATTGTAAAGTTTTCTCACATCCAAACATTGGCAATAGCTGAATAAATAACTTATCTGACATTGTTTTTCAAATATATGTAGATGGTGTTTGTAAAATAGTTATTTATTTAGAGCTATTATTACAGTAATAGGAGCTTTTTGTGATCTTTTTAAAATTAGTGGATATAAGAGAACAACTGTTCTTAGAATAGGATAGAATAGAATAGATTTTTTCAACATGGTAAAGAGGTTCTTGTACTCAAGTTGGGACACACAGTTTGATATTGTTTAACCATTATTGAACTTGTCACTTTGTACTCTCTCTTAGATTGTAGGCTTTATATCAAGTCTGTTTGTCCTCTTGTCTGTCTTTCCAATTATATTTCTTTCTTTCTCTTTTTCTTTGATTCTTTGTTTCTGTTTATTCTCCTTTCTCTTCTTACTACCCTGTTTTCTATCTATGTCTCATAAAAACATATAAATAGGTATAATAAATTTATCTATTAGAGAAGAAGAGGACGTTGTCTAAAGATATCTAGTATATAGGAACTTTATTTTGTAGAAAACGGGGTATGGAGTCAATTATATTGGAAAACTAATGTTCAAAATACAATTTTTTTAAAGCATTTATCTTCCAAGGATAATGAAGAGGATCTATCTTATGTAATTGAAAGTGATGAAGATTTAGAAATGGAGATGATTAAGGTATGTTTGAAATTATGGAAATTTACTTCCTTTTCAAAAAGGACACTTAATTATGTAAAATATTACCTAATTCTAAATGTCCCCCACAATGAGATTACTATCATTTATGTAACCATTAGATTTTATTTTCCATTTCATATTTGTTTACATCTTTATATGGCTTATGAATAATGTTTTAGTAGTAGTATACTAATTTTTCTATATTAGAAGACATATTCCTGTCAGGTCACTTCTTTTAAATCCTGGAATGTTGGTGGTGATTTTGCCCGCCACTGTTGAAATAGGTTTCTTTTTCTTCCCATCCATGTGTATCCCCTTTTATTTGGGAGTTCTGTTGTTATACATTCAATATTCTTCTTTCCTTCTTTTGGTCTTAGTTACTATGGATATATTTATTATATATAATTTTCTAATGTTTTAAATTATTTCATTTCCCCCTATTTTATTATCAAAGTATTATTTTATAATTATGTATATTCTACCACTACATCCATCCTCCAGTTTCTTTGCCAGGTGTGAACCAGGGATGGACAATAAGAAAGAAAAGCTTAAATTTCAAATTGAAAATGAACAAAAACACAGAAGTTCATCATTATTGTGCTTTTTATTCCTTATCTTTAGGTCAATGTGATTTTTGTTCTTATGAAATGAGATTAGGTTCCTGATTCTTTGTTTTGAACCACAGTAGTGGGTAGTGATAAGGAATGTGGATTCTGAATTTAGATGTGGGTTCAAATCCCAGCGTCTCCATTTATTTGCTGTGTGACTTTGGGCAAGTTTCTTAGTCCTTTTGATACTCAGTTAACAGCTGTTATTATTTAAGGTGTTGTAAGCCTGGTATTTCTTAAGTGTTTAGTAAATATTAGCTAATAGTAATAATGGGACATAAATACTAAATCATACTCCTTTATCGATTAGCCATTTCTCTGAGGAGTGCTGTTCAAGTAGCACATTTATAGGACACTTGCAGACTTCCACAAACTTACATTGTATATTGAACCTCTTAGAAGGCAATCTGGATGCCCATATGAGAGAACTTTATTTTCAAAATGCTTTTCTAAGTATATTTGTTGACTTGAATAAAGAATCAGGGACAGAATCACTCTTTTTCTTTTCTAGGCCTGAAATGAATACACTTTTTAGAAAACCACTGAAGTCAAGTTTATTAAATGGAAGGTTTAATGAAAAGAGAAAATGAGAACCATGGTTTAATAATTCTTCCTGTCTCTCTTCAGTAAAAAACTGTGCAGATGAAACAATTTTGAAATATACTAACATTCTTTAAATAGATAATCTTCATTTAGGGGAAAAAATCCAATATTATCAAGCCAAAGTAAAGAGCAACTTTATTCACATTTGTAATACTCCATTCCTAAAATTATTTGAATCTTTTACTGTTTTCATAATTCACGTAAACAAATTCACATAATTCACAAAAAAACACATTCATTGTTTACTATTTACATCTTTTTTTTTTTTTAAAGATTTTATTTATTTATTTGACACAGAGAGAGACAAGTGAGAGAGGAAACACAAGCAGGGGGATTGGGAAAGGGAGAAGCAGGCTTCCCGCCGAGCAGGGAGCCTGATGCAGGGCTTGATCCCAGGACCCTGAGATCATGACCTGAGCTGAAGGCAGTCGCTTAACCAACTGAGCCACCCAGGCGCCCCTACTCTTTAAATCTTATGCTGACACGTGATATGGAGAAACTCATTACAAAAATAACAGTAAAACCCACATTTACCTCTTGGCAATTGAAAACACTGAAGTATGATAAAGGAAAAAAGTTTTAAATTCCATTTTTATTCAAAATTTTGATAACTTTCCCCACAGGCAGTTCATGATATGTTATTAACGAACGCTGTTTATGCTGGAAGTATTCCATCTTTGGCCTTGTGCCTTAGAAACCATGCTTGAGCACATGTTTAAACTAGAGCACACATGTTCTTTTGTGGTATTGGTTGCACATCTGCCAGCTTTGAACAAAATTGTAGGTTCTGTTAATAATACTTCTTTTGTGTTTGGTGAAAAAGATACGACACTGTCAATGGTTTTGCTTTTAAGATTTCTTTTAAACTTTCAGTCTTTAGAAAATCTAAATACTGGCACGGCAGATCCGGTTCATCCAAAATGCATAAAAATGGAAAGAAATCTGGATGTTCCTTTTGAAGATGATGAAGATGAAATTGAAGCTATTGAAGAAGAAGAAGAAGAAGATGCAGGTAAGCACCGTAACATGTTTGAAAGGACTCACCTCTGATACCTACTGCTGACTCTAATTTAGGGTCCAGTTTTTAAACAATTTGGAGGCACAGATTTTGTGGCATGTAATTAATGATGTTCTAAAAACTTGTCATTAAATCCTTTGGTGTTTGGTCTTTATAAAGCACAGTCTTACCATTTATGAAAGTAGAGGTATAGAAGCATTGTATTATTTGGCGCACTTCATGATGTGAAACTTTTCATTCTGAATTTTATGTTTTGTCAAAATAATAGAAAATCAATAATAATCATTAATATCATTAATATTAAACATTATTGTTAAAGGCATTGTGCCTGTTCTTTAGGAGCTTATTCCTTAAAACAAGTGGCACAATTTCAGATAGCAAACTGGACTGATTTTCATACTGTATATGCCAACTATAGTAAGGAGTCCACGAAATGAACCTCGTATTATTCAAGTGTAAGTAAGAGTATTCATTATGGCAAACCATGGGGTCTTCTCATAAAGTAGAACACTCCTCTAGAGCTATATTCATCAATATTATAATGTGGGAAAATTAAAATACATATTGTAGGTGGAAAATATGTGAAAATGTTAAAGAAAATGTTATTCTCTTTGTCTTCTTGTATTAAATGAAGGCATAACATCTCCAAATCAATTTAGTTCTCTTATTTAGAATTGTTAAAAGCTGAGAAGTATAATAATGAATTTTCATTTGTTTATAGATGAGTGGTCTTGATTCTTTGCTTTGCTCTGTCTTGGCCACTCATGAACTGTTCAACCGGAGTAGAAAATAAAAGTCAGTTGAGTAAAATCAATGTAACTCCATTGTGCAATGCAGTTAGAATTGTGGTCAGGGATTTGGTGGAGTGGTAACTAAAATGAAGATTTAATTTTATCTGTGGATTTTATTTGTGATAGTAATGTAATTTCTGATTACTATTAATTGAAAGGTGATTGTATGGTGAAATTCGCATTGGTATATCGCTTGCCATCGTTGGGTTTAAATGTTAGGTTTTGGAACTATAGCAAATTCCAAAACATCGTTTTCTTATACTGTTGACAGAAGGTTCTTATAGTGAACCATTTTGTAGTAGAATCACAAAGTTCTAATCCTTAGTATTAGGTAATAATCAAAGTAACTGAAATCATGACTGATATCCAGAGGACCAAATTAGTTGGATTTAAAAGATAGAAAACAGTAACCTCTGGTACTTATCGTACTTATTGCTATATTCTTTAAAAGAAGCCAATGAAATAAAGTTTTTATTTCCTATCACTTGTATTTTAACATAAATGACCATTTTATTTTATTTTAAGACCATTCATTACCAGGACCTAATGCAAGCCAAATTAATGCCCTCAAGATCTATTTTGGCCATTCCAGTTTTAAGCCGTGAGTATAATCTCAGTTAATTAAATTGCATATTCACAATTTTCTTCACAAAGGAAAAATGGCAAATAATCCATCTGTTTAATAGCAATAGTACAACTTCACTGTAGTTTATACATTTTGCACTGTATTTCCTGTGACTAAAAAGATATTTTAAAATAATATTTATTTAAAATTTGCATCTATACATTGTTTTTATTTTTTTTTATTTTTTATTTTTTTTTTAAAGATTTTATTTATTTGAGAGAGAGAGAATGAGAGACAGAGAGCACGAGAGGGAAGAGGGTCAGAGGGAGAAGCAGACTCCCTGCTGAGCAAGGAGCCCGATGCAGGACTCGATCCCGGGACTCCAGGATCATGACCTGAGCCGAAGGCAGTCGCTTAACCAACTGAGCCACCCAGGCGCCCTATACATTGTTTTTATAAGAGAAAATGGTTTCCTTTGCCAAAGAGAGTTCTGTGTAGACACTAGTTTAAACACATTAATAAATTAATCTTAATTTAATGTTGAGTTGTTTTTCATTAAATAAGTATCTGTGTGTCTATTTTGTACAACTTATTGTCCAAAGCATGGCGATGTAATAGAAATTCATGAGATAACGGTTTGAAGAACAGTGATAATCTTATCTGTTTTAATATATTCCAAATGTATTTATATCTAAAGGGGCACATTTATTAAGTATTAAAATGAGATGACTAAAAATGAGTTAAGGAACAAGTAATTTTGAATAAAACTAATAAGAATGTAGAAATCTAGACTGGATTTTTCCTATTCCGCAAATTTAAAATTTAACCCAGGGAAGCATTTCTTTCTTCTTTTCTTTGATCTTAAATTTTTTTTTATTAAACTATGTCCAACATACAGAAAAGTGCACATGAATGTACAGATCAATGAATTTTTACAAACTAGGCACCCTGTGTAACCAGGACTCACATAAGAAAAAAATAGGTCATTATCAGCACATCAGAAGATCACCTTTCCTATTGATTTTTCCCTCAACATTTTATTAAAAAAATTTTCAAAGATATAGGAAAGCCGAAAGAATTTTTTTTACTATGAATACCTGTATATTCAACATTTTAGTATACTGGCTTTCTCATATATCCATCTATCACCTCTCTATCCATTCCTTAATCTACCTAATTTAAAAAATGCATCTCAGGGTAGACTGGACATCATTATTTGTCTCCCTAAGTACTTCAATGTATAAATCATTAACTATAGTTAAATATTTATGGTTTATTTCTTTTGATGTAAAATTTACCTACAAGGAAATGGTCAAACCTTAAATATGCATTTGCACATCTTAAAGGTACATGCATGCATCCATGTAGCCTAACCCTTTAGTCAAATATGGAACATTACAGTCACTCCAGAAAGTTCCCTCATGTCCCTTCTCAGGCAATCCTTGCCTCTGGAGCATTTCTTTTATTTATTTATTTATTTATTTATTTATTTATTTATTTATTTGAGAGAGAGAGAGAAAGCATGTGCGCATGCATGCGAGAGAGAGAGAGAGAGGGAGAGTGTGTTTGCTCGTGCGCGTGTGAGTACAGGGAGGGGCAGAGGGGGAGAGAGAGAGAGAATCTTAAGCAGGCTTCATGCCCAGTGCAGAGCCTGATGGGGCTCCATCTCACAACCCTGAGATCATACCTGAGCCGAAATCAAGAGTTAGATGCTTAACCCTCCTGAGCCACTCAGGTACCCCTCTTTTATTTATTTTAATCAATAAATTTATACATATATTGAAGCTCAAAAATGTAAAAGAAATTCTATTAGAGGGGTACCTGGGTGGGTCAGTCTGTTAAGCTTCTGACTCTTGGTTTTGGCTCCAGTTGTGATCTCCAGGTGGTGAGATCTAGCCCCTTGATGGCTCCATGCTCAATGTGGAGTGTGCTTGAGATTCTTTCCCTCTCCCACTGCCCCTTCCTCTGCTTGCGAATATGCTCTCTCTCTCTAAAATAAAATAAATAAATACAATCTAAAATAAAATAAATCAATGCAATCTTTCAGAAAAATAATTCTGTTAGAGGTAGTGAAAAAATTAAACATTTTCCACCTGTCCTTACTTATTTTTTCAAAGGTTTTATTTATTTATTAGAGAGAGACAGTGAGAGAGGGAACACAAGCAGGGGGAGTGGGAGAGGGAAAAGCAGGCTTCCTGCTGAGCAGGGAGCCAGATGCGGGGCTCTATCCCAGGACCCTGGGATCATCACCTGAGCCGAAGGCAGACACTTACCGACTGAGCCACTCAGGCGCCCCTAGGTTTCTTGTTAGTAAAACAAAATAGCCTTTTGCTTTTTACCCTCCAGGGTTCAGTGGAAGGTGATTCATTCTGTTTTGGAAGAAAGAAGAGATAATGTTGTTGTGATGGCAACTGGTAAGTTGTACGTAAGCAATAACTTAGTCCTCTAAAATATAAAACTTAAAGGTTTTGAAATGCGTGATCTTTTATTACACTTTCAAAATATAAATACAAATACAAATGATATAAATACAGAAGAGACTGATCTGAGATTAGATGCTCAAATTTATGTAGGAATTAGCTCTTAGGAGGATAGCATGTTAGTAGGGACCATTCATCTCACACAACTACATTGTAAGAAGAAATCAAAGTACCAAGGCTTTATTTTTATTTCTATCATTGTATTATTTTTATTTCCAGGATATGGAAAGAGTTTGTGCTTCCAGTACCCACCCGTGTATTCAGGCAGGATTGGCCTTGTCATCTCTCCTCTTATTTCTTTGATGGAAGACCAAGTGCTCCAGCTTAAGTAAGTAATGTTTTCTTCTTCCCTCCCTCCCTCCCTTCCTTCCACTTTTATGTAATCTCTACACCCAGTGTGGGGCTTGAATTTACAACCCTGAGATGAAGAGTCGCAGGCTCTCCCCACTCAGCCAGCCAGGTGCCCCAGTAATGTTTTCATTGCTACATTATCACCCTTTTTTTTCTTCCATGAAGGAAACATGTAATCTATCATGTATGTTAAAATCTAGTTCCTAGGAACACATTTCTGTGAATGTTGGTCAATCTTTATTAGTGATAAATGACTCTTTGGTGGAAGGACTTATCTTCTTTCTTGAGTTCTCTATAACCCAAGGCTACCAGATGGTTCCAATAAGAATTTTTGTAACAGCAAACTCTAAGCCAGTTTACATCCATATCTCAAAATTCTTTTCTCTTTTGGTTACCCTTGCTCTTTAGCTTGGTATAAAGTGTATATATGCAAGTATGTAATTTTTAGTTACAGAAAAATTTTAAACCTCTTTAACCTGAGCTTACAATCTTTCTGAAAAACACGCCCTAACAACCTGCTTTCTAATATGACCTTTGAAGGAATTTGTTTATCAAATTAGTGAGTTACAAAAAGAGTGAGGATTACAAAGAAGGGGACTTGGTCCATCATTATATTTCCTTAGTCCTTAAGAATGAAGTTGATCTTTGTAGTGTGTACATGGCTCCAGAATATTTGTTTTTCTTCTTCTAGAATGTCCAACATTCCAGCTTGTTTTCTGGGATCAGCACAGCCAAAAAATGTTCTAGAAGATATTAAATCGTGAGTAATTTTTATGATTTCTGATTATGTGGTTGGGTGTCTATGGTATGTGAGAGAATTTTATACAAAATTATATATAAAAATACATAATTTATTTAAAATTATATAAAAATTTTTATTTAATGTGTGGATAAAATGTTCATGATTAAAAAATTGTACTTTTTTTATAGTACATTTGTAGAATTGTTCATTTTAAAATCTTTCAAACTTAAAGAAATCTATTATTTTTAGTTCTCGGACTGTGAAGTTAGCATTGTAGTCATATTGTTGTAAAATTTTGGTTTTGAACAAGAACTACCTAGTTTTGTTTCATTTTACAGATGAGCAATCTGAGGCCTAGAGAAAATAATTTGCCTAAAGTCATTCAATGAATTAATGGCCTAGCAGGGACTGGATTCTAGATCTCTTGCCCCACCAGTCCTATCATGGCATAAGTCCTAAGAATAAAATCTCAAACACACACAAATTATGTATATGTGTATATAGATTAACATGTATGTATTTTGTTAATAAACACACATATACACATGTATTTACTGAGTTTTGATAAATGCATACAAATGTATCACCCAAACCCCTATCAAGATATAGAGTATTACTGTCGCTCCAGAAAGTTCCTTCGTGTCCCTTCCCAGTCTGTGCTTCTTTCTCCATTTTAAAGCAGACCACTGTCTAATTTTTTTCTACCATACTTTTGTCTGTTCTAGAACTTCATATAAATGGATTCATACAATATGAACTTTTGTGTAAGACTTCTTTCATTCAGCAAAATGTTTTGAGAATACTTCATGTTGTATGTATCTGTAGTTTTTTAAGTATATCAGAGTGATACATCATTCTATGAAAATATCATAGTTTGTTTTTTTTAATTTCCTTATCAGTAGTTGCCTAAGCTGTTTGTAGTTTGGGGCTATTACTAATGAAGCTGCTATGAACAGTCCTATAAATTGTTTTTTGAATGTATGTTTTCTTTCTCTTTAAACATTTTAAATCAACTTTATTGAGGTATAATTGACATATAATAATTTATGTCAATTAATTAATTAACTTAAAATCTATCTAATTTGGTAAGTTTGGCATATAAACACCATCACAAAACCATCACCACAATCCAGATGATGAACACAGATCCATCATCCTCAAAGTTTACTCATACCTTTTGTAATCCATTCCCCTCAGTTTTTCCTACCTTCTTTACCCCACTCACGAGGTCACTACTAATCTGTTTTCTGTCACTCTAGATTAGCTTACCTTTCCTAAAATTGTATATAAACAGAATTAGTCATACAATATGTGCTCCTGTTTTGTCTGGTTTAAATCACACAGCATAATTACTTTGAGATTCATCCATCTTGTTACATGTATCAATAGTTCATTCCTTTTTTATTGCTGAATAGATTGCATCATGTGGAGATGTCACAATTCCTTTCATCTGTTAAGCTGTTGATAAGACATTTGCATTGTTGCCAGTTTTGGGCTGTTACAAATAAAGCTGCTCTGAACATTTGTATGCACATCTTTGTATGGACATATGTTTTCATTTCATTAGTATAAACCAAGGAGTGGAATAACTGGATCATGTGGTGAATATATATTTAACTTTTTTGTCTGATTGAGATAAATTTATGTAATAGTCATCATTTTAACCATTTTAAATGTGTACAGTTCAGTGGCTTTTATTACATTCATAATGTTGTACAACCACTGTCTAATTCCAGAACATTTTCTTCACCCCCAAAAAACCTAAGTATCCATTAGGCAGTCACTCCCCAGTGTCTGTACCCCCCCATGCCCCCTCGAACCACTAATCTACTTTCTGTCTCTATGAATTGCCTATTCTGGATATTTCATATAAATGGACTTATACAGTATATGGCCTTTAGTATCTGGCTTTTTCCTCTTAGCATAATGTTGTCAGTACTTGATTTCTTTTTATGGATGAAACAGACATACCATATTTTGTTTATCCATTCATTAATGATGGACATTTAGGTTGTTTCCACTTCTGGGCTGTTAGGAATAATTGTACTGTGAACGTTTGAGTGCAAGTTTTTATATGAAGATATGCCTTCATGCTTTTGTGTATATGCCAGTGAGTGGAATTGCTGGGTCATAGGTTATTCTATGTTGACTTTTTAAGAAACTGTCAGACTTTCTGAGAGTGATTGTACCATTTTATACATTCCCACTCTCAGGGTCTGAGAGTTCCAATGCCTCTTCCTCTCTGCCATTCCTTAGTATGGCCAGTCTTGATTTTAGCCAGTCTAATAGGATCTCAGTGTGTTTTTAATTTGCATTCCTTTACTGACTAGTGATGTTGAGCATCTTCTCATATACTTATTGGCCATATTTGAGGCTTCTTCTTTGAGGAAGTATCTATTCATATCTGTTGCCTGTTCTTTATTGTTGTTTTTCCCTTATTGAGTTTTGATAGTCATTTATATATTCTGAATACAAATTCTTTATTTGGTATATGCTTTGCAAACATTTCCTTCTAGTTTGTGACTTCTCTTTTCATTCTCTGAACAGTTCTTTTGAAGGGCAGCAGTTGTTTATTTTGAAGTCCAGTCTGTCAGTTTGTTCTTTTATGGATTTTGCTTTTGGTGTGGAATCTAAGAAACCTTTGCCTAACTCAGGGTCACAAAGACTTTCTTTTACTTTTTTCTCCTAAAAGTGTTACAGCTTTAAGGTTTACATTTAGGCCTACAACCCATTTAATGTAAATCTTGTGTATTTTACTAGTTATTGATTACAATTTAATTTTCTCATAAAGTTATCCAATTGTTCTAGCTCCATTTGTTGAAGATACTATTCTTTCTCCACTGAATTGCCTTTGTACCTTTGTCAAAAAGAAAATGACTACATATTTATGAGTCTGTTGCTCCACTCTATGTTCTCTGTTCTATCAATCTGTTTGCCCATCTGGGTTGGTGTCTTGATTACTGTGGCTTTATAATAAGCCTTGAAATCAGGTAGTGCAAGTCTTCCAATTTTGTTCTTGTTTTTCGAAGTGTTTTGTCTATTCTAGGTCCTTTGTATTTCCAAACATATTTCAAAATTACCTTTTCTACTCAAATGCCAGCTGGAATTTGATTGGATTTATCTTCAATCTAGGTTATCTGTTGAATTAGCTGTCCTTATAATTATTATTACTATATTACACTGAAGAAACTGAGGCACACTAAAGTTAGTACTTGGCTAAGATCATTTAGCTTGTAAGAAGTAGAATTGAGACTCAAACCTTGGGCAGTCTGACATCAGACCTTGTTATTTATACTGTTTTGCTGTGTGAATTAGAATATTGAATTAATTTCATGAAACTAAAAGCATATCTGTTTTGTTCCTAATTCCTGATGAAAGCGCCATGCCTAGCACGCAGTAAATGAAATATTTTTTTACATCAAAAGAAAAGTCTTTTTATAAGGGAAATTCATTTTCATTCTACTTAACTTTATCTATGTTTTCACTTGGTAGAATGAAAAGGAGACTGTATATATTTTAAATGCCCTAGACCTAATCTTTATTACAAACATTGTCTTAGTTAGGATTCTATTTGCCCAGAATAGAAAAAAGTCAAGCTAGCTTAAGCAAATACTGAATTTTATATTAAGGATATAGGAATGTCTCATGGATCACACTGAACACAAGTTAGCCACCCCTTAGGAAGAGACTTGGAATTGGGTATCAAGAATACAATAATGCTTTTTTTTTTTTTTAGATTTTATTTATTTATTTGACAGAGAGAGACACAGCAAGAGAAGGAACACAAGCAGGGGGAGTGGGAGAGGGAGAAGCAGGCTTCCCGCTGAGCAGGGAGCCCGATGCGGGACTGGGATCATGATCTGAGCCGAAGGCAGACACTTAACGACTGAGCCAGCCAGGCGCCCCCAATAATGCTTTCTTTTATTTGTAGCCTCTATGTGTCTTCCTCATTCTTCTGAGGAGATGAGCATTTTCTGCTTTTCTAGTCACAAGATAGAGAAGACTGCTCCGCATCTCCTTTATTCACATATTACAGGTTTTGCCATTAGCAGAGACTGGTTGTTTCTTGGTCAGACCCCTAAATTCTAGGACAGAGACTGATTGATTTGACACTGATACAGTGGCTAACCCTGGCCCAAGAAGATATATTTAGGCAAGAGAGCAAAATACGTAGGAGAAACATGGGCGTTGTGGGCTTAATCATGGGGAGGGAGTCGATGGTAGGGTAATGGGTTGTAGTTTTCCAAGAAGGAGGGTAGTATATGGGTGGATTGCTAGCACATAAAAGGCTTACCATAGACTTGATCGTTTAACTCAAACACTACAGTTTTGGGGCTGGACTTTTGGAAATCAGAACCTGGCTTCTAATATCACCTTAATGCTGAGTACTCCCTGAGTACTCTTTGCCACTTTTTATTTTGCTGTGTTAAAGTGGGATCAAAGGACTAATATATGTGGATATATATACACACATATAACATTTGTTTAGTTTTTAGTTTATTTAAAAATTTGCCAGGTGTTATGGTTTTAAGCTGTAGTTCAGTGGATGATTGTTTTCTTTAGTGTAGCACATTTCCTTTCCTCTTTCTCTTTTTATTTGTTTATTTTTACAGCGGCAAATATCGGATTGTATACATAACTCCAGAATTCTGTTCGGGTAACTTGAGCCTACTCCAGCAACTTCAGGCCAGTATTGGTAAGTGGTATGATAGGCTCTTTTTATAAGTACTTATTTAGTGAGTTATCCTTTAAAGTTAAATATATGGATGGATATTGGATTTCACTTCTATTAAAATTGATTTCAAACAGTATTTCCTCCAGGAAGTGCCTGACTTTCCAACTTGGTGTCTTTCCAGTCTTATCCCCTAGTACCTATAATTCCTTCTGCCATAGAAATTAGGCTCCTGTATTATAATTGCCTGTTTATATATCTCTTTTCTTCCCCTAGACTATAAACTTTTTTGGGAAAAAAATGCCCTAGTGCAGTACCTGGCACATAGTAGGGATTTAAATGCATTATTGAACAAATGTTGAATCTTAGATTCTATGAAATGTTAATTTCCTTGTTTTCATAATCAGAATCTAAATTAAATCACAGTAGTGGTTCTCCACCCTTGTTCATGAGAATCACTTTTCCAACTTCAGAAAAATGTAGTATCCTCCAAACTTGAAAATTCTGATTCAACATGCCTGGGGTGGGCCCCTGGCACCTGTAGTCTTTCATGAGTGATTCTGATGTGTAGTTAGGGTTGGAAACCATAGTACCTTTGATTATTTGCCACCAGTGAGTATGATTTTAAAAAGTTAGTTAGTAACTCAGAGCTTATTTCCTAGAAAATGTAAATACAGAATTAGTCAGTAGCTGGTGCCCATTTTTTTGTACTTCAAATATTTTTGTCTTTTTTTTTCTCTCTTGATGGCTAGAATAAGCTACCCAAGAGTTGCAGTCATAACTACTATTATTTCAAACATTCAGTGGAACCAACCAGTTTTAGTTTCCTAATATTATATGATCTCATTATATAATTATATATTAAGATAATTCTGGAGAGGTAGATTTTCAACATGACAACATCTCATTTAATGGTTGGTTAGTAGCATATAACTCTAGGAATGTATTTAATAATTTTTTTTAAATTTTATTATGTTATGTTAATCACCATACATTATATCATTAGTTGTTGATGTAGTGTTCCATGATTCATTGTTTGCGTATAACACCCAGTGCTCCATTCAGTACGTGCCCTCTTTAATACCCATGCCCTCTTTAATTTTTGTTAACAATATAATGAAAACAAATTTGTTTCTTTTTAGTATGTATTAAATGTTCATGAACAAAAGAATGAGGGCAGAAGTTGTTATACATTTGATTAAATACATTATCAGAGGAACCTGGGTGACTCAGTCGGTTAAGCATCAGCCTTCGGCTAGGGTCATGATCCCGGGGTCCTGGGATTGAGTCCCGCATCGGGCTCCTTGCTCAGCAGGGGGCCTGCTTCTCTCTCTCCCTCTCCTGCTGCTCCCCCTGCTTGTGCTCTCTCTCTCTGACAAATAAATAAATAAATAATCTTTTAAAAAAATACATAATCGATATATTACCAATTTCTTATCCTTTATTGGCATATTGCATTTTTGCCTTTACTGGAAGACAAATTTGGTGTGTCTCCTATTAGACTGTATGGAATTCTTTTTTTTTTTCCCCAAGATTTTATTTATTTATTTGACAGAGAGAGAGACAGAGCAAGAGAGGGAACACAAGCAGGGGGAGTGGGAGAGGGAGAAGCAGACTTCCTGCCGAGCGGGTAGCCCAATGCGGGGCTCGATCCCAGGACCCTGGGATCATGACCTGAGGTGAAGGCAGACGCTTAACGACTAAGCCACCCAGGCGCCCCAGACTCTATGGAATTCTTAAGGATATTTCACTTTAGATGAGGCCTAAATACCCTAGATAGATAAATTTTATGGTTTTATTACAAAAGCTAGGATCTGTATCCATGGTGAGCTGGATATGTTTTATTCCATTTTAATATTTGCTTTGTTTCTGGGGTGGAGTTAATTAATTATTAGCTTAAGTATTTACTTAGATCCTTTAACAGCTAGTTCTAATTCTCTGTTTTTATTTTTTGTAATGGATTAAATTATGAACACTGCAGTCAGTAGAACAGAATACTCTGTATGGAATGGATGAACATGCTCTTTTTGGTTGACTCTCAATGTTGAACAAAAAGGGATAAATTCTTTTTGAAGTATTTTTCTTTGGCTTTTGTTTGTAGGAAATTGTAAAATGCTTGCAAAAATGAATCTACTCAGAGTTCTGTTTGTATGGTAGTCTGACATTTAGCTAATCAGATTTATGCTTTTTATGTTACATTCTTTAAGTAGTATGAGTGTATAACAGAAGCAGCAAACATAATTTTATATGGAGACTCCTTAAAACCAAACACACTTATAATTGTCTTTTGACTTTAGAAATAGGGCTTGAGTGACAGATATGCCAAAATGAAATATGTATAGGACTTGGGCAGACACTTGCACTTGCAAATTTAAGTGAAAGTTAGCAGAAGCTTGGTAAACTGATGGTAAGGGACAAAGTTCAGCTCCACTAAGAGGTAGTTAGTTAAACCTGTAATTTTAAGGAAAGTTTTAAAATAAAAGATGAGCCATCATGTTTGCTTTAACCTATTTCATTTAAAATCTGGGTCATTTAGTTTCTAAAGCCAAAATTTTAGTGGTAACATTGAATTTTTCCCAGCTATGCAGCAGCTGCCAGAGAATTTTGATGCTAATCAACCTGTATTCATCTTTAGTAGGTTTATTTTTTTGCCTTCTTTTTCATCTCTATTGTATTTGGTAATCTCAGTGAATTGTAATTGTTTATTTGCTCGTCTGTCTTCTCTTTTAGAGTTGTGAGCTTCTAGGTTACAGAGTACATCTTATTACTCTTTTCCTAGGAAAGTGTTTGAATCATAGTGGGCCTTTAATAACTGTAATAATAATATTTTGGTGTTTTGTTTTGTTTTTATTGAGCTGCCTTTTATGCCAGGTCCTATCTTACTATTTTATGTGAATGATCTGACTTAAGCTTCAGAGTGACTAAAAAATGTTAGGTACTACTATATCTACCTTTTATTTGTGGTGACACTTGAAGCTTAAGTAACTTGCTTAAGGTAATACAAATGTTAGTGGTGGATCCTGGTTCTGCATTCAGGTAGTCTGACTCTAGAGCACATATTTGTAGTCACCCCCTTAATGGCAGAAAATCATTAATACTCAAGTAAGTATCAAGTAATGATCATCTCCACTGATGGAAAAAATTATATTTGTCGTAAGTATTAATTTGGTAATGGAGATCAAAGGCACTACTATCATTACTTTAAAGTATCTGAAGACATTTTAATGGATGGTTATACAATAAAGCCCTTTTCTGAAATGCATTACTACACACCATTGATTCTGTTTCAGTGTGGGTGTGTGGTGTGGGGGCAGAGTAAAGGGGCTGCTAGGGGAAGAAAGAATGAATTATATTCCTTCTTACCTACATTGTACATACCGAGATTTAGTTCTTACCATTTTACATTGAAAAATGTGGATATTATCCTGTCTTCCAGTATTGACATTCCAGGGGAACTCTCTGCGGTCTGATATGTGATTGGTCATGGACAATGATGATGACCTCGTCTCAGTAGAGTGTGCTCTTTAATCGCTTTTGGTAGCTAATCGATGAGATAAAACCAAAGAGAAAAAAACCCCCAGCTCTTCTTTTTTAAGGCATTATCATTGCAAATGGTTCATGAGTGATAGTTTTGAGGGCAAAGTAGTAGTAAGTAATTCATTTCTTTGAGGAATAATGATGAAAGCTGTGAAATCTAATAAATAATGTTGTTTGAATAATATATAAATGTTTCCTTCTTTTATCCATATGCCTTTACCCATATATGTCCCATCCTCTGTTCTCATAATGGTTTTTGGTGTTGCCTGATGTCATTTATGCTTTTATTTTTATATGAACCAAATACTTTGATTTGAATTTTTTTTCTCCTTTCTGTAATATTTATATATTCTAAGTGAAGGTGATAGTGATTTAGATGAATTTATGGCTTCTTTTTGAACTTTATTTTCCCCGTTTTTATATTTTTCACTTTTGTAGGTATCACACTTATTGCTGTGGATGAGGCTCACTGTATTTCTGAATGGGGACATGATTTTAGAATTTCATTCCGGACTTTGGGCTCCCTAAAGGCATTACTCCCGTCGGTAAGCTTGCCAAGTGCAATGTCTTGAAATGACATTCATATCAAAGGAGAGAGTCCAGGATTGGGGAATTGCCAGAAGGCTGAAGACTTCTCTATGAAAGGGCAAATGGATAGTGAAAACAGGGGAAAGGTTTAGAAAAAATTCTAACTTTGGCTTTCTTCTAAGGTTAGCATGTAATTTATTGAGGAATACTATACAGTAGGGGTTGGCAAACTTTTTCTGAAAGAACCAGATAATAAATATTTTAGGCTTTATGGGCCACATATGGTCTCTGTCACATTTTTTTTTGTTTTTTTCTTCACAACCCTTTAAAAATATAAAAACTATTTGCTTATGGGCCATAAAAAAACAGGCTATGGACCAGATTTGACCTGTAGAACGCAGACATGACTTTAGAACCATGTTTAGGTCCCATACCTTCTCGATGAGCTCTTATGCATGCGTCCTTTTACTCTAGGATGCTGTGAAAGCATAGTTACCTCTTCTTGCATCATATTGAGAACCTGAAAAAGGAACTATTCCAGAGAGGTTTTAGTAAAGTTTCTAGTACTAAAATTCCACTTTCTTCCCTAATTACAAAGAATAGCAGATTTCTTACATGAGTGGCGTGTTTTATATGAACAGCTTGAAAATTTACAATAATGGCAACCATTTTATTTTTTGAAAAATTATGGAGTCACGGGCAGTTGTAAAAAAAAATGTACAGAGAGATTTTATGTACCTTTCAGTTTCCCCAGTGGTAATATCTTATATAACTGTAGTATAATATCAAAACTAGGACTATGACATTGGTATCATTTGTACAGTTCTTTTTTTTTTTTTAAGATTTTATTTATTTATTTGACAGAGAGAGAGATAGTGAGAGCAGGAACACAAGCAGGGGGAGTGGGAGAGGGAGAATCAGGCTTCCTGCCGAGCAGGGAGCCTGATGCGGGGCTCGATCCCAGGACCCAGGGATCATGACCTGATCCGAAGGCAGACGCTTAACAACTGAGCCACCCAGGCACCCCTACAGTTCTTTTTTTAAAAAAAGACTTATTTATTTGAAAGAGAAGAGAGAGCGAGCGAGCATGAGTGGGGTGAGGGGGCAGAGGGAAAGAATCCCAAGCGGACTCCCTGTTGAGCACAGAGCCCTACACGGGGCTCGATCCCACAACCCTGAGATCACGACCTGAGCCAAAGTCGAGAGCTGATGCTTAACCGACTGGGCCATCCAGGCACCCCTTCACAGTTTATCCTTATTTCAGTGGTTTTATAAGTACAAGTGTGTGTGTATTGTTCTCTATAGTTTTATCCCATATGTAGATTTGTAAAACTATCTCTGCATTCAAGATACAGAACTGCTCCATTAGCACAAGGCTCCTTTTATAGCCACACCCACCATTCCCCCCACCCCTCACCCTGACTTCTGGTGACCACTGATCTGGGCTCCATCTTTATAATTTTACTTTGAGAATATTATATAAATGGAATCATACAGTTTGTCACCTTTTGGAATTGGCTTTTTTTCACTCAACATAATTCCCTTGAGATCCATCCAAGTTGGTATGTAAATCAAAAGTTTGTTGCTTTGTATTGCTGCATAGTATTCTATTATACCCCAGTTTGTTTAACCATTTACCTGTTGAAGAACTTTTGTGTTGTTTCCACTTTGGGGCTGTTATGAACAGGGCTGCTCTGATATTTGTGAACAACCCAAAGGTCCTTCAGTTGGTGAGTAAACAAACTGTGACCATAAGTTTTAATTTCTCTGGGGTAGATGCCCAGGAAAACAATTGCTGATCCTATAGTAAGTGCATGTTTAGTTTTTTAAGAAACTGCCAAACTGTTTTCCAGAGTGTCTATACACATTTTACATTCCTGCCAGCAAAGTCTGAATGACTCAGTTTCTCTTCATCCTTGCCAGCATTTGGTGTTATCAGTATTTTTTATGTTAGCCGTTTTGATTAAGTGTGGAGTGTTATCCGGTTGTTTTTTTTTTAAGATTTTATTTATTTATTTGAGAGAGAGAGAGAGAGCGTGAGCAAGGGGAAGAGCAGAAGGGGAGGGGGAGGGAGAGGGAAAGAATCTCAAGCAGACTCTGTGCTGAGTAAGGAGCACGACACCACACCTGAACGGAAACCAAGAGTTGGATGCTCCAGCAACTGAGCCACCCAAGTGCCCCTATCCTGTTGTTTTTAATTTGCATTTCTTTAATGGCTGATGATGACATCTTTTCCTATACTAATTGCCTCTTTTGTGAAATGCCTGATCTAATTGGAATTTTCTTTTAAACTGTTTAAAGTGTTTTATTATAAATATGAATCCTTTGTCAGATATGTGGTTCATAAATAGTTTTCAATTTATAGCTGCCTTTTCATTGTCTTCACAGTGTCTTTCACATAGCAAACATTTTTAATTTTGATGAAGTCCAGTTTATCAGTTTTTTCTTTTGTTGTGCTCTTCACCTAACCCTAGATCCTGAAGATTTCCTCTAATGATTTTTCCCTAAAATTTTAATAGTTTTACATTTGTTTACATTTAAGTCCATGATTCACTTTGAATTAAATTTTGTGTAAGGTGTGAGGTTTAGATTGAGGTCCTTTTTTTTTTTTTGTCTGTAGATGTCCAGTTGCTCCAAGCCATTTCCCCTTCTGTTGAATTGCTTTTGACACTTTGTTAAAAATCATTTGGGTATATTTGGGTGAATCTTTTCCTGGATTCTCTAGTATACTGTATTAATTTTGAATGAATAAACAAGGTTGATTTATGTTTAGGTTTTCCTCGTAGTAGTGAAGCTATCATGTCCTCTGAGCCCAAGATTTGACAGTTTACGAGTAAACTAAGAAAAGGCATTAGAGATTGTTATTCTCTTGGTAAATTGTCTAGTTCATTTCCATTGCGTATTAATTATACTTATAAGTAGCAAAATTGAGAGTTTCTTTTTGTTAGCTCTTCTCATAAAGATTTGGTTAGAGCATACATTAAAATAAAATGAAACAAAAAAAAAAACTTAATTGTACCGATTAACAAGCATATACTGAAAGAGAATCAAACTAGACTGAATTGAACGCCAACTATGTGACTGGCCCTGGGTTAATGCTTTCATCTTGGTTAAGCCTCACAACAAGCCAGCAAGATTAATATCTCCATTACCTTTTTGAGACAGTTCTTCACTAGGATAGCACATTCTCTTGCTTCTCTTCCCTCCTTCCTGTCTCTTCATTCTAAGATTCCTCTGCTTGTTTCATCTTATCTCCCGCACTTTTAACATTGGCATGCCAGAAACCTTAGTCTTTGGACCTATTCTCTTTCCTATCTGCACTTAAGCCCCTGGTCATTTCATCTACCGTACGGTTTGAATACCATCTATATGTTGACAACTCCCAAATTTATATCCCCACCCTCACCTGATACCAGCAATGTGTGAGTGATCCAGTTTCTCTGCCTCCTTGCTAGCATTTGGTATTATCACTATTTTTTTTTTTAAGATTTTATTTATTTACTTGACAGAGAGTGACACAGCGAGAGAGGGAACAAGCAGGGGGAGTCGGAGAGGGAGAAGCAGGCTTCCCACAGAGCAGGAAGCCTGTTGCGGGGCTTGAACCCAGGACCCTGGGATCATGACCTGAGCCAAAGGCAGACGCTTAACCAACTGAGCCACCCAGGCATCCTGAATATTTAAAAAGATTATTTATTTATTTATTTATTTGAGAGAGAGAGAGAGAGTGCCCGTGCAAGTCAGGGGGTGGGGCAGAGGGAGAAAATCTTCAAGCAGACTCCATGCTGAGTGTGGAGCTCAACAACGTGGGGCTCAATCTCAGGACCCCTGAGATCATGACCTGAGCTGAAACCAAGAGTTGGACGCTTAACCAATCCAGGTGCTCCTCCCGGAATACTTTTCACATGGGGTGATCCCCTACTTCTCTCACGTCTTTGCTGAAATATTATTTTTTCATTTAGGCCTCCTGGGCCACCATATCTGTGGGTCCCCACTAGGATATTCTCTGAGGGGGACAGGCTTTTGATGGTTTTGTTCATAATCTAGAACAGGACCGGGCACATAGTGGGTGCTCCATAAATACTTGGGTAAATGAATAAACAAATTCCAGTGAGAAAGCAGAGAAGCAGAGATGTCTCTTTCCCATGCAGGGAGTGGTGGAGTTGGGCCGTAGCTTCACTGTGGGACACCGTGCTGGTTTCTCTTTTTTTTTTTTTTTAAGATTTATTTATTTGTTTGAGAGAGCGAGAATGAGAGAGAGAGAGTACATGGTGGGGGAGGGTTAGAGGGAGAAGCAGGCTCCTCGCTGAGCGGGGAGCCCAATGCAGGACTCGATCCAGGGACTCCAGGATCATGACCTGAGCCGAAGGCAGTCTCTTAACCAACTGAGCCACCCAGGCGCCCCATCCGTGCTGGTTTCTCAAGCAAGTGATGTGAAAGAAGTATAAAACATCGTTTCTGCCCTGAAGTAGCTCATGGTGCAGGAAAGGAATTTAGATCCATACCTATAAAAGTAGAAGCAATGGTATCAAACAGTAAATGGTGTGTGAAACAGTACAAATAATAAAGAAAGTTTAACAGTGTTAATAGTACACGTAATAGAGGAACAAGATATTTGTATGGTGAAGGTCAGGAGGCTCAGTGTGCCTCGAGGACTGCTTCCATTAATTTAGAACGGTTTTAGGGGTGCCTGGGTGGCTCAGTTAAGCGGCTGCCTTCAGCTCAGGTCATGATCCTGGAGTCCCGGGATCGAGTCCCACATTGGGCTCCCTGCTCAGTGGAGAGCCTGCTTCTCCCTCTCCCTCTGCCTGCCACTCTGCCTACTTGTGCTCTCTATCTGTTGAATAAATAAATAAAATCTTAAAAAAAAAATGGTTTTAAAGTAAGCTTTTGGAAAATAGGATTGCTTTCTGTAATCCTTTCCAAGGCCTTTGATTCTAAAAGGATTGTGTTAGAGGAGTTTTAAATATTTTATACAGCTTTTAAACACTTTTCAGTGGTGAATTAAGTCTTTTATTATGTCTGGCTGTGGACTCTATTGGATCATTTTCGTTTCTTGCAATGACTCAGTATAGCACAGGGTGTTTGTCAAGCAATGGCTGAGAAAACCTTTTCCCCCTAGTGTTTTCATGAATCCTGTTGATTAGCTAAGTGGTGAGAAATGCCACCTGGTGGTTGTAGGACTCTCATTTTCCTCCCTGTTCTCCGGGTTCTTCTCTTTCCAGTTGCGATTACGCTGGGACAACTGTTGCAGCTTCACACCATATGATTTCACTAAGTTTAAAAATAGCAAAGAAATCATTAAACCACTTGGCATAAGGATTCCCATTTGGAGAGAATCAGGCAAAGTGAGTCTCAGAAAGAGCAGCGAAGCAGAAAGCTCTGTATCAGTCTTAAAATTCTGTAAAATTCAAGTAAAAAGAACTGTGATATCCATGAGACATGTTCTTTCCATTCCTCCCTCTGCATGCCTTTCCCAAAGACAGCATATAGAGACACTAATTGAACACTGTGAACGATAACCACTTGAAATGAGTGAATGAATGAATGAAGTATGAATGAAGCATGATATTACGCAGTACAAAGTTAGAATTAGCAACATGACCCAAATTTAGAAGCAGATGGAACAGTTAGAATTCTCTGAATGTGTAGGTGCTGCACCATTGAAGCCTATGATTAAATCATTCCTAAATTTATAGTCATAAGGTTAATTTATAGTTTTTGCTTGTTTTAACAAAACTTGGTACTTATTTCCAAAGAAACCAAATTTTCCAACTTAAAGAGAGTTCCATGAATTAAGAACTTGATGTAACTAGGTGAGGCTCTAGTTTATTGTCCCAATCAGTTTACTTTTGAATGTTAGAGATTGCGAGGTATCAGTATTTATGCCATGATGACAGGATAAACTGGGAGTGTCCCTGGAAGCCAGGATGTGTGATCATCTTTCTCATAACCAGCCTGTATGTCTAGTTTATGTTTTAAACATATAAGGCACCACAAACTTCTAAAAGATTCTATTCATTTCTGAAGTGAAAATAAATAACCATTGTTCCTTTAAGTTTAATATATGCCATTACTTTATTCTGTTTTCTAGTTGTGGAAGCAGCATTCTAAACTGAGACCTTCTAGAATGTTGGAGGTGAAAGATCCCATTTATGTTGATTTTTCATCATTTGCAGGTCATTGGCTTAGGGAGTTTCTAGTGACAAGGTGGGGATTTTTAAGTTAGAAGACAGTCTAACATTGTGTAGCCCTCTACATCTCATATTGTAGTGAAAAAAACTGAGACCAAGAGAAGCCCTTGCCAAAGTCAGTGGCAAATCTGGGAGTCGTGACCATGGCTCTGGAATTCTTGTATAGAATTCTTTTCAGTTGTTGCGATAACAACATCAATAATAGTTGAAACTTTTTTTATTTAATGATTTTATATATTTATTTGAGAGAGAGAGAGAGTGCGCGAGTGGAGAGGGGCAGAGGGAGAGGGTGAAAGAATCTGAAGTAGATTCCACCCTGGGCAAGGAGCCAGATGGGGGGCTCCATTTCACAACGCTGAGATCATGACCTGAGCTGAAACCAGGAGTCCCACGCTTAACTGACTGAGCCACCCAGGTGCCCCAATAGTTGAAACTTTTTGAGTGCTTACTGTGTACCATGCATCATGTTCAGCACATTACATGTTCTGTTGTCTTTTGGTCTTCACAATGACTTTACGAGATTGCTATTATCATTGTCACTTTATAGATGAGGAAACCAGAGTTTGGAGAGTGAAATGACCAGCACAAAATCTCACACCTAGTTAGCACAAAGGCAGGATTTGAACTCAGGCATCTGACTTTAAGCCAGTTATTCTTCACTACCATGCTGCTATTTTGCCTGATCTTTAGATTAATTTCTTCAAGAGATATCCTGTTTCATGCTTATTTTATTTTCATAAGTACATTGCCCATCCAGTCATACATTATACTGCTTAGAAGGGAAAAAGGAAGGGGGGGAATTCGGAGGGGGAGAAGAACCGTGAGAGACTATGGACTCTGAGAAACAAACTGAGGGTTCTAGAGGGGAGGGGGGTGCGGGGATGGGTTAGCCTGGTGATGGGTATTAAAGAGGGCACGTACTGCATGGAGCACTGGGTGTTATACGCAAACAATGAATCATGGAACACTACGTCAAAAACTAATGATGTATGGTGATTAACATAACATAATAAAATAAAAAAAGAAAGAAAAAAAAAGAAAAACAAACCAAAACCTCTTACTCTCTGTATCCTGAAAACTTGTCTTTCTCTGCATATGCAGTTAAACAAGGATGCATTAAATTGTTTGAGTGAAGCACTTAAAATGATGAAAATGCTTGGTTGTTGTGAGGGTGAGAATGTGCATGTCCTAAGAGCTTCTAATGTTTAAACTTTGTATGTATGTATATATATACATGTGTATGTATGTGTGTGTGTATGTATGTATATATATGGATAAGCTTGTTTATATAAACTAACTTCTCTATACATTGACCTATTTATAAGTTGTTAGGTAGGCACTCTCTAAATTCAGAGAACAGTCTGGTTGAAAACCAGAAATCAATGAAGTTAATTTGGTTTCATTTTTAAATAATGAAATTAAAATTTTTAAATAAATTTATTTAAAATATTTAAATAATACTTAACAATTTAAATAATTTCACAGAATTTAAGGATAGAGAATGCAAAAATGCCAATTACCTGGTCACATTGGTTCTGATACCTTTTTCTTCCATTTAAAAAAACTACTTCAGACTTAACTTTTTTACATGAGCTTTGAGATAATTTTTAATTCAGTAAAGCTATATTGATTGTAAAAATAGTTTATATTGTTAATAAATTATATCTTGTTTTTCAAATCCTGTAATTGCTTTTCGTACAATTGCACCTAAATTTTCACTTACATGGAAGATAATTGCTTAAACTGATTTGTGAGATAGGCGCAGGGCATCTGAAGAGGTATTTTATGAGGATGTCATTTACTTTATTTGTAATAGACCACAAAAAGTATTTTAAGAAAGTTATATTCTTGAATATAGAACAGCTCATGATTTAGGAACAACTTGAAGACTTAGTCCCTTTTTTCTGAATATAAGATAATAGCATAATTTATTATAACTCCCTCTGATAACAGGAGAAAAATAATGAATCGAGTTTCATGGGAGGTATGTCATTATCTAGTTTAGAATTTCTGAAAGGTTACATATTCATGTTTTTCCTAGTAACTGCCGTGTCTCCTGTTTTGGCTGCTAATCCAGTTAAGAAGTCTTTGCTAGACTGAAAATAGAACATGACTTGGTTGCTCAAGGAATCAATTAATAATGGATGTTTTGTGTTATGCATTCTTATATATAGTATGCCATGATTTAACTTAGTAAACTAGAGAGAGGTTATCCAGGTCATTAATAGCTTTGCTTCTAGATCTGAGAAGCCATAAACCAATATCTTTAGTATAGAAGATAAAAAAAGACTTACTGCTTTGTATTGTTAGATTTTCAGTGAATGAAAGGGTTTATAATTTGTGAATTATAGATTAATAAAAAATAAGGCATAACATATCCCTCATTTATATCAGCACTATTATTAATATAATAAATGTTTAAAAAATAGTAAATGGAGAGTTAGATAGCTATTAAGTAGGTAGATTGTATTTAGAAATCTTATGGATTTAGTGTTTTATTTAAACTCTTTCTGTTTTTTAAAAAGTAAATGTATTCCGGGGTGCTTGGGTGGCTCAGTTGGTTAAGCATCCGACTCTTGATTTCGGCTCAGGCCATGATCTTAGGGTCTCAAGATGGAGCCCTGCCTTGGATCTACGCTGGGCGAGGAGCCTGCTTGAAGTTCTCTCTCCTTCTCCCTAAAAAAAAAAAAAAAAAGGTACTCCAAAGGCTGAGAAACGGAAGTAGGAAGTTTTCTTCTTCTTTGAAAAAGAGTACTTTTAAAGTTGCATTTTTAACACTGTTCCTCTTGTAATTGTCATCCAGTCTGTTTCTAAGAGGGCAGTAGAAATGTTGGGAATTAATGAGCGCTCTCCTTTTTTAAAAATCAATTTCATTTCATTCAGGTTCCAATTGTTGCACTCACTGCTACTGCAAGTTCTTCAATCCGGGAAGACATTGCACGCTGCTTAAACCTGAAGAATCCTCAGATTACCTGTACTGGTTTTGATCGACCAAACTTGTATTTAGAAGTTGGGCGAAAAACAGGAAACATCCGTCAGGATCTTGTCCAATTTCTTGTCCAAAAGACAAGGTGAGGATGCCATGGCTGATAAATTTTGGTTAACTATTTCCTTCTTTTTAAAAACTTGTTTTATTTATGTATTTATGTATGTATGTATTTACTTACTTACTATTTCGAATGCATATTTAACATATTTCACATTCTACTTAGCTTTGGTTCAAGTGTGATGTTATATAATCAAGAGAGCGACTGAGAAAATAGCTTAATTCTGAAGGCAGAAATAGTTCAGGTATTTTTGTACTTCATATCTTGCTTGAACAGGACATACACCCTCTTTTTTTTTTTTTTTTTTTAAGTAAGCTTTATGCCCAATGTGGGGCTTGAACTCACAATCCTGAGATCAAGAGTCTAGTGCTCTACCTGCTGAGCCAGCCAGGCGCCCCTATACTCTTAATAATTGACAAATAAACAACAGAAATGACTGAGTCTTTTATCTGAATTCTCTTTAGTTCACTAATTATATGACTAATTGAGTATTAGGGAATAATAAACATTTTTGAGCCCTTGTTATGTGCCAAGGACTATCCTAGGTGCTTTATATAATTGATCTAGTAATTCTTATAACTGCTCAGTAAACTACATACTATTTTCATTTTCCTGAAGAAGAAGCTGTCACTAGTACTTTTTCCTGTTTCTTTTGTTCGGAGGCATTTTATATGTATGCTAAGAAGCTTTCCTTTGCCTTATTTCCCTGATCTCTCTCCTTGGTGAAAAGTTTATAACTTTCATGTTATGAAATGTGTTTTTAAGTCAGAATACATGAAAATAATGTTTGACCTACCCGCACAAACACAAAACAAGTCTAGGCAAATAGAGTTTAAATAACATCAGTAGTATTTTCCTGAAGGACTCTTTGGGTCCTTTAGGATGAATTTAAATGTAGGATTTGCTATTGGCATGATTGTACTATATTGAGATTAAAACAAGAAAGTAATGGGGGTGCCTGGCTGACTCATTCTCTTGAAGAAGGCTGTTTTTATTCTATACTAGAGTCTTGTAACAGTGACATCATTATGTACTCCCCTAATCTTTGATCCTTTTCATTCCATATTATTTTAATCTCAGGCCTTCCCCTAATAACCTCCTTTCTGAATCTGTTTATCTTTCTGTGTGTGTGTGACATTGTGACATTTTATCTTTCTGACTGTATGTCCTTTTATGCTCTCTTTTGTGTTTTCTTCTCACCCTCTTTCATGTTAATTCTGCTAGTGGAGGTCTCTTAGCCTAGACTATTATCATCTCCCTTAACAGACCTCCCTCCTCCTCAGTGCTCCTTGCATTCTAGACACAATTTTCAGATTCATCATCCGAAAGCACATCCCTGAGTCTTGGCATTCCTCTCTGGTGCCTCTCTCTTTCCTGTGGACTAGCAGCCAGACTCCTTAGCCTAACATCCAAGACCATCTGAGATTTTTATATTTATGTGACAATGGTTTTTCTGAAGGCAAAGCAAGAAAGATTTTGCATCCATTTTTCAATCCTCCAAGAAGAGTTATGGTAGCAGCCAACCAGTGCGAGTCAGATGCTTCCTGTAGATCTTAGGCAAATAGAAATTTTCCTCTTAATGAGCGATAATTAGATGGAGGGTAATTAAGACTTCAGAGTGTTGCCTTTTATTTCTATTTCTTCCCTTTATTTAATTCTGCCATTTTTTTCTATTCATTGACCTAACATGTTAAATTCTGACCAGATTTGTTTTCTATATTCACGATACATTGAAATTGAAAAGACAGGCCTCTATCACCCATCTAATTTAGTGGTTAGATGAAGATAGATTTCTTTCCCTTCAGGAAATTGTTGTGAGGAAATAACAATGTTTAGTAAACCACTCGGTGAAGTAATGAATCCTTTTGTAATAGAGATTTTTACTCCTTTGATTTTTCTGCTAAGTTCAAACATTTGTGTATTTTCTACTTTTTTTTAATGTAAAAATTGATACACAGTCTCAGTATCAATTTGAACACTACAGATGCATGTCAATTGAAGAGTACTTAGATCTTCTGGTTCTGTTCCTCATTTATCACTGTTGATGTTTGGGCACTGAGCTTCTTTTCTCTGACTACTGTGCAGATATGCACTTCCAGTTTTTGTTGTTAACTTTATACAGAAGTAGTTACAGAGTATATCCATACTTTAGGCAATATTTTCCTTTGATTTAAAGCGTCTTTGCTAAGATATATATTAAAATCTCCAATTATTATAGATAAATCTATTTCTCCCTTTAGTTCTGTCAATTTTTGTTTCATGTGTTAAAGTTCTGTTAATTGGTACATACACATTTAGGATTTTTATATCTTCAATAAATTGAAACTTTTATCATTATTAAGAAAAAGCGTTTTTGCTATCTTTCTGTATAATGTGATTTTTAAAAAATTAGGGCCCTAATATGTAGGATATTCACATTTTGGTGAACAAATTTTTCTTCTTTGGGAAATGTTTTTAAAATGATAGTTTTGTGAGGGGCGCCTGGGTGGCTTAGCCGGTTTAAGCTCTGACTCTTGGTTTTGGCTCGGGTCATGTTCTCATGGGTTGTGTGGTCCAGCCTTCTGTCAGCCTCCAGGCTCAGCAGGGAGTCTGCTTGAGCTTCTCTCCTTCTGCCCCTCCCCCCACTCATGCTCCCTCTCTTTTTCTCTCTCAAATAAATAAATCTTAAAAAAAAAATGATAGTTTTTGTGTATTAAAAATACTTTGTATTTTTTCTCACTTCTTTAATTGATCTGCCGGGACATTTTGTTATGAAGCCAATTTGGTCACTATAAAAAATTGCTTTGAGTAGATTATTCAGTAAAACTTGTGGAGTCAAATTACTGCCTATTTTTTTCCCTCTATTTAAGTTTTCAGTGACTTTTGCCATAGTCCTTCTTAAAGGTTTTAGATACAATAATTTTTTGTTTGCTTAGTATTTCGTAGTATGAATGTACATAATGATGAAAATTTATTTTTCACTATTATAGTTCTGTTGTGAATATTTGTGTATATGTGTCTTCTGGCAGATGTGAAAGTATATTTGTAAAATAAATTCCTAAAGTTGAAATTGTATCAGAATATATGCGTTAAAAATTAAAGTTTTTCCAAAATATAAAATAATACATTTTTAATATTGATTAAGTCAACATAAATGAATGTATTTATGTAAATGAATATATTGAGGAATTAAATAAATGTTCTATGGAAACCATCCTTGCATTTTTAATAAGCACAGGTTTCTAAAACAGACTTTCAAACAGATGTTTTCTATAATAGTCTCAAGATTACTAGTAAATACTTCTTTAAACTATAAAAATGATCTTTAATAGTACAGAAAAGTTACTGCTTTTTTAGTAAACATACATAGAAACTCAATTTTTTGATCATGAAAAAGAATAAGACTATTCTATGTAAATATTCACTTATCTTTCTAATGTAAATGAAGACTAATTCTTCATCTAGTGCTTTGCATTTCTAAAAGTATGGAAATTGCATTTCCAGTAGCTTGTTTTTATCAGGGCTTTTGCTTAAATAAACTTGTCTCTGGTTTTAACTTTAATTTGAACAAAAGATGAGTCCATGGTGTTTGGGATTTAATATAATTTATTACCACATTTGACTTTCCACATTTTTATGTAGTTAAATATATCATTGTTTTCTATATACTTTCTTTTTTTAGTGTTTTTTAAAAAAGTAAATTAAAATTAAATTAAAATTTTAAAAAGAAAGGGGAAATTAAATAAAACTCAAACTGGTTTTGAAAACTCAAACTGAAGCCTATATACTTATATGTTTGTTCTTTTGTTTTTGTGTGTGTGTTTTTTTGTTTGTTTGTTTTTAGTTCCACCTGGGAATTTGAAGGTCCAACTATCATCTATTGTCCTTCCAGAAAAATGACAGAACAAGTTACAGCTGAACTTGAGAAACTGAAGTTAGCTTGTGGAACATACCATGCAGGGTTGGATGTTAAATCAAGGAGAGAGGTTCATCATAGTTTCATGAGAGACGAAATTCAGGTGTGAAGATCCATCATCATTGCTCTCTATTCCCCATGGAAACAGATATTTCTCTAATATTTATTTGCCATATCTTTATCGACTACCTTGTTTGTGTTGAGTATAAAGAAGTTTCTCTCATAAAGGGAATTAATGTGTAATGTGGATGACAGATATGTGAGCAAACTATTGCAGATGAGTACAAATAGCAGGCTGCACATAGTGCTTAGGTACATAGAGGAAGGAATGCTAGCTCTTAAGGTAGCTTCTGTTATGGTGATGATCCATCCAGGAAGAAGCAATTTGAGTGTAGAGTCTGAACAAGTAAATGGAACTTTGTCAAGTATGTGAGGCCAGTAGGTGATGAGGGAAAAGGGATTGGTTATGGAATTCCAGGAAAAGGGACTAGCACGTGCAAAGACACAGTGGTATGAGAGTGCATACTGGGTTTAGGAAATTGGGAATAGTTTGGAATGGTTGGAGAGAAAGGAAGTGTGGAGTAGGATTGTTACAAAGTATAGGTGAAAAGGCAGGGAGGAACTGTTAGAGACTCCCAGGAAAAAGGTTGAATGGGTTGGTTGGCCAGGTTATGGAGGAGGGCCTTAAAACTTGCAAAGAGGCATGCTGGGATTGATGTGATGTACTTGTAGTTTTTCTAGACTACTTTAGGCTTAGAATTTTTATTTAAATTTTCATTTAATTTTTTAATTCATTTTTATCTAATAGGTAAAATAAATCGAAGTAGAATAATTCTTGTTGAAGTTGACGTGAGGAAGAAAGAGATCCAAGAGATTTCCAGTCTCCCAAGACAGTCCCTGGGGGTATCCTGTAATCCTCAGAGCTCCACAGAATAGCATTTGAAAACCATTATGACAGATTTCTCTGTGTTTTTGAGCAAGAGCATAGTATTATAGAAACATTAGATTAGCAGCCCTAAGCAGGATTGATTTGAAGACTGAAGAAAGAAACGTATCAATGAAGTCACTGTGAAGTGCTCCAGCTGAGATTCCTGTAACGATTGGAATCATGTAATAATTCCAATCTGAAGTGATTGGAATCCTAGTTTAGTGGATGTCATGCAGAATATTTAGGAAGCATTAAATTCAGACCATGTTGGAAGGTTTAAATCAACAGCTTCACACTGTCAACATCCTATCCAAAGTCTGTTACTGCAAGCCTGTGGACTAGGCCTCCTCACAAATTAAGAGATGAACTTAACTTCTGCTTTGCATTTTCTGCTCAGTAGGTCTTCCATTTCCTTTCTGTCCAGCTCTGTAGTTGTTAACCACCCTCAAACCAACATTGTTCAAACAACCTACCTCAGGTATGGTTCATATGCACCGTCATGCTGTAACGCATACTTGCCTGAAAGCATTTCTTCTTCTTCTTCCTCTTTCCAAAGATAGGAACAGCTATCACAACTGCTAAGAATAGAGTTACCTAAATTCTTAAATGTTTATAGTTTTATTCTATTATCTCAGGAGTTTGAAAATTATCAGATAAAATTTATTGGCTGTTGCTTACTGAATCTTAATTGATGTTTGAGCCATTAACTAATCAAAGATTTCTTTCTTCTCGATTTATTATTAATTACTCATTTAGGTAGAAACATCTGCAGATATGAGAGATTGCAAACTTTTATCTGTTATGTTGTGATGGGAGACTTTGTTGGATGCATATGCTTTTGCTACCCACGTTCAGCTTCAGTGAAACATCAATGCTTTGAAATATGGCTTTAAAAACCTCACAGTGATCACTAATTATACCTAATATCTAGAAAGGTATATGTATGTATGTGCCACTATATTATCCCTTTCTGTGGCAGGATGTCAAAAAGTTTTATCCACATTATGAAAGTTAATAAATTAATATTAATGCTGTCACCCTAGCAGCATCAGGGGTTCTGCTGTATCTGACAACTGGCCTCAATGTACTCCTTCTTTGCTATTAAAATAAATAATTCAGAAGCTTCACATTTGCATCAAAAGTTCTCAGACACCTTCCCAAGATGATGAAAATACATTTCCTCAACTATATAGAATAGTCTGGTGCTCTTGGAATTGATTACTTGCCATTGAATATTTATTGAGTGCCTACTGAATGCATACATGTACAGAATTCTAGATATTTACTCTCCTGTTTTTCTGAAGTTGATTTATGCTTTGGTGTGGGCCTAAAAGTGGCACTCACCCCCCCAGCTCACCTCCCTAGTTCTTAATGTCTTGAATTGACTGATGCTTAGAATCTTAGTATTTTCTATTTCATAATTTTAGAAAAAAAAAATTTTCATGTTATTCTTAACCAAATCTAACCATATTCAGATGCAGATTTGCATTTTTAGACTGTGACCATTCATTCTTACTTTTAGTCCTGATTTTTAGCTTCATGTTCTTTTGTATTTTATTTGCTTTTTTAAGGTCTTGAATTCTTTTCATTCTGGGATGAGGATGTGAATAAATTATTTGATAAAATACTTAATTCACCTGAGAGTTTATAATGATATTTTGAACATCATGTCTGTAGAATAAGGTGATGTCATCTAAAAACAGTATCATAAAGAGGTACCTGGCTGGCTCAGTCAATAAAGCATGTGACTCTTGATCTCGGGGTTGTAGATTCCAAGCCCCATGTTGGGTGTAGAGATTACTTAAAAATAAAATCTTAAAAAAAAAACCAAACCCAGTATCATATGATGAAAATTAGATTTTTAAAGTTCTTACCACACACACACACACACACACACACACACACACACACTTACAGATGGTAACCATGGGAAGTAATGGTTGATATCCATATACACTGTGAAATCATTACCACTTTATTGTGGTAATGTAACTTTATTGTGGTAATGATTTCACAGTGTATATGGATATCAAATTATCAGATTATGCATCTTAAACCTACACAGTGTTATATGTCAATTATACCCCAATAAAGCTGGAAGAAAATGGAATCAAATACATTTTTAAAAACCTTAAAATTATGTTGCTTATTCACTTTCAAATATAGCAAAATGGCCTAGCTTTATTCCTAGTTGTTTTTTTAAAGATTTTATTTATTTATTTTTTAAAGATTTTATTATTTATTTTTAAATTTTACTTTCTTATGTTATGTTAATCACCATACATTACATCATTAGTTTTTGATGTAGTGTTCCATGATTCATTGTTTGCGCATAACACCCAGTGCTCCACGCAGAACGTGCCCTCTTTAATACCCATCACCAGGCTAACCTATCTCCCCACCCTTCTCCCCTTAGAACCCTCAGTTTGTTTCTCATAGTCCATAGTCTTTCATGGTTCGTCTCCCCCTCTGATTTCCCCCCTTTCATTTTTCCTTCCTGCTATCTTCTTCTTCTTTTTTTTTAACGTATAATGTATTATTTGTTTCAGAGGCACAGGTCTGTGATTCATCAGTCTCATACAATTCACAGTGCTCACCATAGCACATAGCCTCCCTGATGTTTTTATCTTGATGAAGTCCCAATAGTTCATTTTTGCCCTTGCTTCCCTTGCCTTTGGCGATGTGAGGTTGAAGAGGTTGCTGCCTGTGTTCTCCTTTAGGATTTTGATGGACTCCTGTCTCACATTTAGGTCTTTCATCCATTTTGAGCCTATTTTTGTGTGTGGTGTAAGGAAATGGTCCAGTTTCATTC